CTGTGGATGTCACACATGAAAAAAGATTCAATTCACAAGAAGATCATGCAGACAAGAGATAATATGATTGAAGTAGATTTCCTCGACCGGGAAGAAGCTTTATATTCCGCAGTCGAAAAGAGAAAGCTTCTTTTCAAACGTCTTTTAGAAAAACAACAACATTATTCGGACAATGAAAGTGATACTATCAAATAATTTGTTGTACTTTTATACTTTAAAAATATCAATCCTATTTGTTTGTCTGTTATATTTGTTATAGTATTCATCACACTGAATCGTATCCGACATCCAGAGAACCCCAGGGAACTCCGAGGGAACCCCAAGAGCACCCCGAGAAAAACCCTACAGAATCCCAGAGAATCGACCTCACATCGACCCTATACATTGACCCTCCAATACTTTATATTGTTTAGTGATGATAAACTTCATGTACAGCGGTCCATGCAAAGGTAGTGTAAAGATGTCTGGCGTACAATCTTGGTTAACCTTTTCATGTGACGCCACACTGCACAGGAGCACAAACAAACAGGAAATCTTTTAACCAAAAATTTATTTCTCGCCTTAGAGTGAAATCTTAAACTCCAGCTCATCAAGAGTTGCATCACGATCTTTCCCAAAGTTGTTAAAATGTTTCGATGCGTGCTCAAAGGGAGATAAAGGGGTAACACGAAATCGTACTGATCCGAAGAGCAAAATGTTGTTGCCAAAGTTACCACGTTGGTTGACTGCATGCATAAATTAACACATGGATTAACGTTTTGTACACGCGATAGTTATATAGCACACAAGAACACAGATTAGTGTTTCAAACAATCTAATTCACATCACAATCAATCAGTCAACATGCAGTGTAAAGCAGACATTGTTGGGATCCTTGACATGGACGGATTTCAAATTGGAAAGAAATTTTTCTGTAAAGAGTTGGGAGTCATAAAGGTCAGAGACTCTGAAGCCTCGTTGTTCTTTTTTTTATATTGGCTTACACTGGAAGGAGCTGAACGAGAAAGACAAACGAACGTGTAACTTCGTCCAGAAGGATATACATAAACTCAATCTCAAAGTTTACTTCTCAAATATTCTACATATGCCTTATAATGATCCTTCTCATGACTTCTAAATTGCTCGCCTGTTGCCTTCACAGTATACTTAAAGTGCCACTAACCCCCTAATTTTTAAAATAATAAAATATAATAAATAACTGCTATTTATGGAGTACAAAACTGGAAAAAATTTTTTAATCGGTTGAATTCTCACAATTCTATGGCTTCTCAAAGTTTGCACACATTTGTTCCACGACTGAGTTTTGGGAGACTGGTGAGAGAGGAATGTGTGACGTCAATTGGTGAACTCATGCAAAGCCTCCTTATAAACACTATACTCTACCATTATAAAGAAGCTTTAATTTCGAAGAATAATTTACGGTTTTTTATATCTTTTTGCAATGTCTTCGACGGATGTATCTTCTGAGGCTTCTTCGTTCGCATCAGGGAACTATTATTTATCAGAATATGACGAAATGTAGGGATAGAAGGCTTAGAAGCCGATATATCTGGTTTCAAGCGATGATGATGCCTTATCATGCTTATGCAGCTATGCTTGGGTTGATGATCCTGTCGCTGATGAGGAGTGGACATGAGGGCGAACGAGATCATTAAAGACGAGATATTGAAGCGTTTTTTTGTGTTTTTTTTTTGTTTTTTTAAATTAATATTTAATTTCAGGAAGCTTTCTCACAAAGTGATTTTCAGAAAGGTCCTGAACTAAATAAACTATTTTACAAGGAAGACATGCATATACTACATAACAATGAAAAATATTAAAAAATTATACGAGGGAAAGTTCAAAGGTTGCTAAAAAAGTTTCTCTTAAATGTAGAAATACTAGTAGATAGTTTTATCTTTCTGTCCAAGTTGTTCCAGTTTATTATTGCCTGATAAGCGAGTCTTTGCTTTCCCCCAATTCCTTGACACTTTAGGTGGCCTTAAATTGTCCTTATATCGCGTATTGTAGTTGTGTATTGTTTGCTTGAAAATTTAATTGTCCTTATATTGTTATTATTATTATTGTTATTATTATTTCATTTTAATTGTCCTTATATTGTGTATTGTAGTTGTGTATTGTTTGCATGAAACTGCAAAACTTTATGAGTGGTAAGTCGCAAATTTTGCTTATACTACACTACACTACACTATTTTAATAAACATATTTACGTTAAAGATTATTTCACGGCATGGCAAGGCCACCCAATCATGTTGTCAATATTTCATAATTTATATTAGGTGCAAATGTGAAAATTGTAGCCTGGGGAGTTTTTGAGTAATTGGCAAGAATGCAATATTACTGTTGTGAGCTGGAATGTTGCTACTTAACCATTTAATAATATGCTGCTATGTGCCTTACCTACAAATCTCTCTTACACCAGGCAATTTTATTTGACAAAGGAACATGTGGAACTATATGTTCATGGACTTTCCCTAATCGGCAGTATTAGGCAGAGTAAAATTACAGAACAACATTTTTTTTCATATTTCACTAAGATAATGATAGACCATTGAGAGGAATGTTGGAAGCTGCACTGTGTCTCAATAGTGTGCTCATATTTATCTTACTCTGTCTAAAAAAACAGACAATGTTACTGAACATGAATGGGAGAGTTACCTATATTGAAACTCAATAGACCTTACTGTTTATTTACTTTTGACCCAATGGCCTCATTTTCATGTGATATTAAAACTCATGTTTTGTGCATAAGAGAGTAAAGAATAAGCTTGTGATTGGACTTAAGATCAACGAGAGACAAACTTGTGCAGGAAACATGACAATTTAACCTTCATGTGCGCATAATATGCTAAAATAGGCAAACATGGAAACGAGGCCATTTGGTCAATAGTGAATAAATGGTAAGGTCTATTGTTTCCAAAATTTGTGTAAAAATGTAAAGACTAAATAGACTGTTCAACATATAGAGCTTTATCCTCTTTCAGGGATATATTTATGGGGATACACACTGTTCCATGACCAGTGTCTCCCATAAGCATCAACATCTCAAAAATGTTGGTGTAACCAAAATCAGAAACTATATGTATGTATTTCAGAACCATCCTCAGAGATTTGAAAAACTAGTTTCATATTAATCTATGTATGTATAAAACAAGACGCTGGCTCAGGCGTTAACACTGGCCTGAAAATAACTGACGAGAACGTGCTATGGTGCAAAAGGCAGGAATACAAATCTTAAACCACAAGCAAATTTTATGGACTTTTTCAAAAAATAGAAGACCATTTCGGGCGACGTAATGGACTGATGGTGCAAATCTATAACTAGGAGTTACTATCGCAAGGAAAGTGCTGCCTTTTTGGCGTATGAACTGAATGCAAAAATTTATACTTCTAGACAATTCTCGGTTATACGGCCCAATGTTTCCTTCTCGTTCATCATTTAAGCCTGTTCATAAACTCATTCTTAAATTGTGTGCACGGAATACGTCGAGTAAATAGTCAACATGAAAATGAAGCCATTGGGTCAAAAGCAGATATTAAGGTCTATTAACCTATTAGCTGCGAATGCACACTACTTTAGTATTAACTATTTCTGACTAACGCCAGACGATTTTACTTGTTAGTGGCAGAGTACTGACAGTAAATGGGTTAACAAACACATCTGCCAATGTCTCTTATTAACCCATTAACAGGCAATGCACCCTGCTTTAGTATTCTTTAGTAACTCTTCAGAATTTGCTCAGAGTCAATGTGAGTAAAATACATCTTGTATTCAAGCGCTTTCATATACAAAGTTTCGTTTGAATACGGCACAGAGTAGGAATATTTATTTTGAATTTTTCAAAATATCGGGTTTTTAATTGCACGCACTTTTATACCTCGATCGATGCACGTGCAAATCATGCCGACCTACAGAATCGATTTCCGCTTTTTCCTATAAACAGCGCGTTGTTTTGATGTACGTGGCCACGCTAAAAATATAAATATTCTGTAAATACCGAAATAAACTATGAAAACCTCCAGACACAAGCTTGAAAATAACACTATAAATAGTGTTTTCGATTCTGGTTCCAATAATATTATTACGAAAAAGATATGTCCAAAGGGGCCGAAGTTATGTTCGGCAAAATATATGGCTAGTTTACATTGTTATATTATGAAATATGATGCCATACTTGTATTAAAATTCACACCGAACTAATGTTATTGTATTAGGCACTAAATGTGCTTCTTCGAGGTCGACTTGTGGCAAGTCTAGCAAATGAGAACCATACAATAATGGTTCTAGTTCTTGTTGGTATTTTGAACGCACGCTTTATCTTTAGTATAGCTACCACAAAGCTTTTCATGTGGATTATATTTCGCGCAGTACTAAAATTTCAGCGGCCAGCGCTACGCGAATTCTCTTAATTCTATCATTCTAGTACTGCGCGGATTTTAATACATGTATTTAAAGGTATATTGTCGACATTTGACTAAAATTATCGTAAGGAATTAGGAGAGTTTGTCCTTGTTTATATTCCAATATATTGTATACATTCGCTGCCTCGCTGGGTACAAATTTACGAAATTTTGGGGTTTTCGAGTCGTTTAATTTAATACAAAAAGAAAAACATTAATTCAACAGGCAAGAAACTAAGAAAGCCCAGAGTGCGACCACGGTTAATAGAATTAGATGGTTAGGCTAGCCGGCAAACTTCAAAGGGAGCGGCAAATTATGTCGAGAACCACTTTTATTTGTGTCACATGACGAGGAAAGGGGGTGCTTTGTGATGAGTGATTAGGAAAACATATGGGCAAAAACATAATATGCCAACAATGATCATATTTCAAAACGCTATAGGGCTTCTGAGATCAAGGTGGAAATTGAAACAGAAAGCGAACAAACATACGAACCTATTTTGAACGTTGGAGATGAAAATATTGAAGAAAGCGAGCGTCGCGAACAGTTTATGATCGAGGCATAAGAGGACGAAGGGTGAAGACATTTATTGCAACTAGACGATGCAACCGCAGAGGATTTATACAACTTTGATGTGTCTGTTGCTCTAACGGAAATACAGTTAGACGAAACAGACGCTGAATTCACCGAAGCTATACAAGAAATTGATGGCGAGAGGGTTTTTCCTTTTAGTCAGTGAGAGATAGTGTGCAAGTCTATAAAGTAAAGGGAGAGACAAAACTCGTGCTGCGTTGACTATTAGAGGACGTGGTTTGATTATATTACACCGATTCAGGTCAGTTTGGCTACTGTTTCCTCTACTGATGCTTTCTTCGATGCTTTGCATGGCCACTTTACACAACATTCTGTCCAAGGAACAATCAAGATAAACTTTTAGAATGTTTTTATATGGCTTGATTCCTCGTTTGTGTGAGCAGCTATAAAATTGTGTGAGCAGCTATAAAGTAGCAAATATATTCCTGAGCATATTTGATCGGATTTTTATAAAACACTACACCAGCAAAATGTCGGCATTGTTGGAAAATGCTGTGATTTTTCGTGAAGTTCAACCCTCGAACTCTGCACAGAAACTGTACGGAAAATATAGTTAAACTTTATTTAACAGTCGGAGCATTTTCCTACACCAGAGACTTTATTACTATTAAAGATGCGGCATGTACAGTCCAATCTGTGCATGTGCACACAGGAGTCCCCTTTTCAGTGGCGGCGCCAGGGGGGGGCAAATGCCCCCCCCCCAATTTTTTTTGCCCCCCCCCATTTTGCCCCCCTCAAGGGGGGGTGTAGCTAAAGGCTACACAAGTGTTCTGTCGTTATCGGAAAATGTATGGCTTATAAGTTGTCATTACTCATTTGTGAATGCGCATATACATGAAACTGTTTTTTACAGTTTCAATATTAGTTTGTAAATCTCTGAATGGTAAAACTTGCCAATACTCCAATAATACTTTCAAAAAAAGACAAAAACGCTTTAGTTTTGCAGAGTTAAATTCTCAAACGTGTAAGGCAATAATAAGATGAAAGTATCACAAAATTATTTGAATAAACCACATCGCATATATGGGGGGCGAATCACCTAAAGAGGGGCGATATTCCTAGGGTATTCGCCCCACCCCCCTGGGAGGCGATATTCCTAGGATATTCGCCCCTGGGGGCGATATTCCTAGGAATATCGCCTAGGAATATCGCCACGTTTTGAGGGGGGCGAATTTCCTGGGGGGCGACCTTTTTGAAAATTCGATCTTGCCCCCCCAAAATTTGAGTTTGCCCGTCAAATGCCCCCCCATATTTGGAAGCCTGGTGCCGCCACTGCCCCTTTTTATTTACAAACAGTTTAGTTAGGTTTTTATTTCATTTTATGTTCTTCCAAAGCTTGATTGTTGTCTCTTGATAATTTCTAGAATCATGAAAATATAACTAGTTGTGGAATAAAATTCAATATTTTGGATACCGAAATGTAAACAAAGCCTTTGTTTACATACGGACTGTACCGCATCTTTAAAGTATAGCATTAATTAATGAAAGGCAGTCAAAGAAAAGGCATTGAGTGATTGAGAAAGGGGATGCGATAACATATAAAATTTGATAAACTTCTTAATTGTTAAAGATTGTCAGAAGTTCAGAACACTGTTTCCATAATTCAATAATTTTATATATTATACAATAATATTGTTTTTAATTAAACCTTATTGGCTGGTCGAAATAGAAGTGATTTGATTATGGTAATTTGCCACCATTCAGTACAGCCCTGCCCCACAGTAAGCGGATCACACCACAGTAAGGGGACGATTACATGGAGCACTTTTAACCACAGGTTTGAACTCGACCATGTTTACATAACTGGGTTGAATATTTTGCGATTACATGGACAATCTCAACCCCAGGGTTGAAATGCTATACATTCCCGGAAGTGAAAACAAAAACCAGCCTCATCAAATGCTTGAGTAACTCATGAATAATTTCAGCCCTGGGTTGAAACGATTACATGATAAAATTTTCAACCCAAGGCGAAGTCCAACCTGAGGTTGAAATTTATAACTCTGCTAGCTGAAGCGGGGTTGAACTTGGCCCTGAATTGAAAATTTTGAAATTGTGCATTTGATTTTGATAGCATTTTGTATTACAGACAAGGACGAGGGTTCAGCCCAGGCCTTGTAGGTCCCAACTGTAGGTCCCAACTGTAGATCTGTAGGAGACAACCCCAGGGTTGAAAATGCTCCATGTAATCAGCCTCTAATTAGCCCATTAAAACTTTGATGTACCCTGATTTGACTTTATTTCTGTTGAATACCAGATAATATAATATCATGGCCTTTAATTCACCAATCTTGGTATGAAAATCGAGTGACCACAAAAAATATTTACATGCAATATACCACTTTTGGAACAAAACAACTTAAACAAGCATAGACCATTTTCATATGATAGTGAAAAACTTAAAGATTTTTTTTTGCATTTTAAATTGCTTTTTGAGCCTTGGACCTCCTAGGTTATCTTGAATTTCTTCTACTTTCCATATTTGCATATTATCTAAATCTGCCATCAGTTTTAATTTCAATACTGGACACACCAGCCACCTCGCCAGCCACTGAACTAACGTGTGTAATTCGAAGCTTGTAGGTTGTTTATCTGGTATTTATACGTTGAGAATGCGACGCTCAGCCTTGGGAACTTCGTGTTTATTGTAGGTAAATTTTCAGTGGTACGCTATCAGTTATAAAATCTTTCGTTTGGGGTCTACAGAAGATAGATATTTAATAGACATGGGATATGTAAATATGCAAATACAATGCCCTCTTTGTTTACATCTGATCACACAACCACATGCATAAAATGCAAAATTTACAATGGCTTCAAATGACGCTCACAAAGGAAAATCTTATTTGTTTCTGAAGATCTACCGTCTTTTCTCTAGTCCTTTAAAACAATTCAAAGCCATTCTTCGCGAGCATTTCTCTTCTTGTTCACCATCGGCTGTAGTCTCCTACGCACACTACATGGGCTGCGCCAACAACACTCAACAGGGATTTTAAAAATTGCAAATTCACGCATTCTGCTGGTCGGACAGCCATACAAAGCACAATTAGAGCCAACCATACTGTTCAATATTACTTCAAACGTTTAACCGTATCCTGACATACTAAAACAACGGCAAAAATACAATTATCCAAACGTGGTGTATAAACAAAGCATTCGTCCTCTCGATCATAAACTGTTCACGACGCTCGCTTTCTTCGATATTTTCATCTCCAACGTTCAAAATAGGTTCGTATGTTTGTTCGCTTTCTGTTTCAATTTCCATCTTGATCTCAGAAGCCCTCTAGCGCTTTGAAATATGATCTTTTCTTGGCATATTATGTTCTCACTCATATGTTTTCCTAATCACTCATCACAAAGCACCCCCTTTCCTCGTCACGTGACCAAAAATAAAAATGAACAATAACATATTTGTCACGTGGTCCAGCTAGCCTAACCATCTAATTCTATTAACCGTGGTGCGACGCAAGAATTAACACAAGTACACAACGGATGTTATGAGTCCACGACGTATATTTATAGTTGTTTGTTCAAAAGTCAAACTGTCAAACCTTTAACTTGTCCTTGTAACCTTGTTTAAATATCCTTCTATATATTGTATAAATTCGCTGGGTCCAAATTTTGTGGTTTTCGAGTCGTTACTCAAAGAAAAACACATTAATTCAACACGCAAGAAAGTCCTGAGTACGACAACGTAAAATCCATAAGAAACCGGCACAATTCTTTGAAAATTCAACGAGACTGTGTAAAATATAGTTTGATCACTCTGTGAAAAGCCGCCATTGGAGTTCGGAATTGTGCGCGTGCGTACAAGTGTATGGGCTATTTAAGACACTTGGCCTACAGTACAGGCCAGTGTACTTAGTTTCAGATTAATATATGTATGTATAGTTTCTATATATAGCTATTATAGTTTGGGTTGTTCTTTGTAATATAAAATACTATTTTATAGAAATAGTTTTTGCATTTGTCTACATACCATTACTTATGATAAAGTTGTTCATTTCTTCTAGGTTTTTACATAGTGTGGCATACGGAAAGTTTACAAGGATGGTGTATAGTGTAATTGGAAAAACAAGAATCCCACTGCTGCATGAGCATACCATGCAATAAGGAAGACATTCCCTCTCACAAAAGATGAATCATTTACCAGATTTGAAATGGAGGAGGATAAAATATTGGAATAAATTAATGACTAAGCTAACATACAGTAAAACCCATCATACAAGAACATACCATAGATGTTTACAAAATAACAGTGTTTCCATTACTTTATAAAGAGCTTATTTTCTTTAATTGATGTTTAATTTTTTGCTTCTTCGATAAAATAAGAAGCTGTTTTGGAATTTTAGTCTGAACTGGTTCTTTTGTAAATCAGAGTTTTACTGTACTATTTAAATATTATACTCTAATGAAACCTATATGGAACATGTTTGGTATCAACATAAATCTGTTTTGACTTGTGCTCATCAGGGATAGAAAACAAGTAAAGTAGAGCAAACTTGATACAAGTATTGCATAATATAATTTAACAAATATCACCACCATGCCTATAAAGCACCCTCCCTATAAAGCACCTTCCCTATTAAGCCCCCTCCGTATTAAGTCCCTTCCACAATAATCACCACCCTCCCAATAAACACGCTCTCTATTAGCCCCCTCCCCCCTTATAAGCACTACCCTCCTTATAAAGTACCCACTCTATTGAGTCCTCTCCTAATAAACACCACCCTCTCTAGTAAGCTCCATCCCTAATAAGCACCACCCTTCCAAATATTTCCCCTCTGTTAATTAAGACCCTTCCTGATGTAATATAAGCCCCAATCTCTATTATAAATCCCCAACATCCTGAATAATCCTAATACACCCTTCTGAAAAAAAACACCTCCCAATATGCCCTCCTTCCTCAAATGCCTTATCCATACACTATGATGTGCTCCTTTCATTCCTTGGACAGTCTGTAACAAACTTGTTTCCTTTCATGGGTTGTTTACATGCCCTGCATTTTGGTGCTGCTTTAGACTTCTTTTGGCTCTGTGCAACAACGTAGTAGTGAAGCTACAGTAACAAAAAGATTTATATTGACAGCAAGCATACTGGGTAACTTATCTATGGGCCATAGGCAGTGGGCAACACTTTGCAAAGACACCATACAAAATAATTTAATAATAATATGTTTTAATGTTTAAATACCTGGTGTGGTTGGAGGGACATTCTTCACAACAATTTTTTTCCTCTCATCTCTTTTCTTAACTGCCTCTGCTTTTGATTGCTAGCAGGTGGGGTATTCTCTTTGAGTTGCTTGGCTGCCTTTTTTAGATCATCTTTGGTAACATTGAGAAAAGTTTAAATACTTCTTCGACATAATCGGTACAAATCAAACATGGATATATACATTGGTACACGGTATGCATCGATCAATGTTTCACTCTAATTATTTTGACAGTCAAATATGATGGGTGTGTGTATTTTAAGGATGTCTGAGGAGGGCATGTGTCATAGGTAGTGGGCATATTGACTTCACTAAAACATAGGCATAGCAAGAGACATAGATGGAGAATTATATCACTGTATAATACTGTATCAAGTATCAAATTGCATACAGAAATTATAAAAACCTGAAAAACCTGCAAGGCTGAAGACAGAAATGACAAAGAAAGCTCTCACAGACTAAACGAAATTGTCTGTCTTATATGCTTTACCAAATTACTGTATATCAGTTTAAGTGTTAGCATGTTATATAATGATATGTTTATTAAATCAGTTTAGTCAAACAAATTCAAGTTATGCGGAATTATGTATAAAATATAAAATTAGCATACCATTCTGACATTCTCTTGTATCTGTCTGAAACTTTCTGTGCGTCAGCTGATGGCATGACTGCATGTTGGGAATACACAAATTCCGATCTCGTCCCTTTTGAGCCATCTGTTGCCAACGAAGCTTTCACCTTTGACATGGGAAAATCGTCGCAAAAAGTCCTCGGGCTTGAAATGCTCGGAGCATATGACTGAATACGACGTTAGCATCCGTTTTGCACGTTTGAGGCTTATTTAATACGAAGTCAGTCCATTTCTTTCGGGGTTTTTTTCGCTTCGGGCTGTTCGTCCCCCGAATAAGAAATTGCATGCAACGATATTTCTTTTTCCTTATCTGCTATGTTGTTACAACCGGCAGCAACAACGCATCTTTTCGGCATTTTCTTGCCGTTCGCATGCCTAACAAACTCGCCTAGCACTGTAAACACTTTGTGTTGACACAACAGCTGGTTCACCAATTGACGTCACAAGCCCAAGATCATTGGCGCTCGCTCGTGGGACAAAATGGTGTTGAATTTAGGGCAATTTTTCAAACTTTGAGAAGCCATAGAATAGCGAGAATTCAACTGATTAAATTTTTTTTTTCATTTTTGTACTCCATAAATAGCGGTTATTGATTTTATGAAAAGAAAATTTAGGGGGTTAGTGGCACTTTAAAGCTAGGGGGCATCGAGAAAAAAAGACCATAGGCCAGTGCAATTTCATATTGTATATTAAAACATTTAGCACACACACATGCAATATAATTAATGCTTACTAATTAAACCGGAAACATGCAGTTGAACGTTCATACTTTATAATTTATGTGGGAATAGCTGAACATGCATACTTCATAATTTATGTGGGACTAGCTCAACGTGGATATGACTAGCTCAACATGCATAATGAAGAACATAGAGGGTGTACAGAGACGTGCTATGCTATGGATTTTGGGAATAAAATGCAGAGATTTACCTTACGTGCAACGTTTAAAAAAACTGGAACTTCTACCTCTTGCCTATGATAGAGAGATCACAGATTTACTGTTCTACTATAAATGTAGAAATGGTCTCATTGACTTTGATATGGGAAAGTTTACGCCATTTGTCTGTAGTTGAACCAGACGGTAACTACTTGAATAGTAATTACTTAACCCATTAAGCGCCAGCGCTCTCCCCTTGACGAGTAAAATCGTCTGGCGTTAGACAGAGTAAAATACTCTGGCGTTAGACAGAGTAAAATACTAAAGTAGGGTGCATCAGGGTGCAATGCCACTCAATGGGTTAATCATTCATTCATTTGAATACTAATTACTTCAGTTATTGTATGGGGGGGGGGGGGTAACCTACTCTTAGCAGTGTTAATGAGTTTATAACTTTGCATATAACTGAGCAGTTTTAGATTTTCCTTTGATAACACTGTAACAATTGTTATGGCATTTGTACTTTTATATTTCTTAACTTTAATAAAGTGTTACAATAGAATATAAATCTTACCAAGCAGGGTTAGTGTACTTTAAAATATAATGTAAAATTCTTGTTAACATTTCATTTAGATTTGTCTCCATCCTTGTCATATCCTTATGTGGTTATTTATGTGATAAGACATATCAGATCAGTCTTTGCAACCAACAGTGTTGGCCCCAAGCCAAGAGCCAGATGGAGCGGTTTAACCAAGTTCTACTGAAGCATGTATTAACATCTAGAGCAGGCAATGAAAACTGGCGTACCACATTACCAACAATGTTGAGAAACTACAGGAGTACAACACATCCACATCCCTGCCAAACTTCTGATGAATAGAGAATTACGTACCAAGATTCCAAGCATCACTGATAAGAAACAAGTCGATGATAAAGAACTGTGGAAAACTGATCATACGACGAAAGAGAAATACTAGCAATATGCAGACATGGGGAGGAAAGCGAAAAAGAGACTTGGTTTTGCTACAACAGAAGCATAAGAAAAAATACTCAACCAATTTTCGACTGGATCCTCTTGAAGTTGTTCAAGTCAAAGGTTCTCAGATCATCATGAAGGATAACAGTGGAAAGACTTACCGTCAAAACTCCAGTCATGTTAAGAAATTTCTGAAACCAGATGAAGAAGAAGAGGAAGTAAGCATTGACAAAGAAGAATTGGAAGGCGAAGTAGAAGATGCTTAACTACCTTCTAACCGAACATTACCTGAATCACCACCGCAACCACCCATATCGCCACAGCCAGTACCAGAACATCAGCAAGGAACTAAAATTCCCATGGTATCACCAGCTACGAGTGCTCTTAGAAGATCAGAAACATTGAGGAACAAAGTGCCTAAGAAGAACAATAAATGAACTATGTATATAATTAATTTGAACAAAATAATTGAAGGAAAAAGATGAACAAAAATAGATTAGAAACATTAATTCTAAAAAGAGGAAGGGATGTCATATCCTTATATGGTATTTATGTGACAGGACATGGTAGTTAAGTAATACTAATTATGTATATATAGGTGTGCATGAATATGTTATGATATATAACATATAACACTTGGTTTAGTAAAAACCTAAATAAAAGCATTTAGATGTACAATATTGCAATCCTCCATATCAGATACCATAAATTTTGGTGCAACTATTTTATATACAATGATGAATGTGTCTCAGGTCACCTTATCATTTGTACCAGACCTGGTACAATATTATTTGCTGCTTAAACTAGATGTAAAGACTTGTTAAAATAACATTTAAAGATTTCTCTCTCATGGCCTTTTCATTTTGAATAATCTTTAAACATGTGAAAAGTGTCCCAATTCACCCCATTCCACAGTATACATATTGAGTTGATGACCATGTCCATGGTAAAACACAAATATGTCAGTAATATTCTTGAGAAAATTGCTTTTATCACTGTGACATCATTCACAGGTGACAAAACTGAAACATTGTAAAAATTTGACAATACTGTCCGATAGAGGATCACAATTGGACAAGAAACTATATTACACTAAGTATTTACTGTCCCAAAATAAAGTTTCTACAGTGAATTATTGGCAGATCGGTATTGATAAAAAATGGTTACTTATATTTCAGGAATGAGTTGCTAAGTAATTAGCCTAATAGTTTCTGGTCCACTCATGATGTTTTCAGTGAACACGAAGCTCTAAGAAGATGTTCTGTGACTGGTTGATTATGACATTGACAAAAGACATAATTGGCTTATATAAAGGCCCATAAACAAAAGGGGTATTGTTCTTGCTTCGTTCTTTAGAAAATCCATTCTATAGCTTATTCTTTTGTCATTGTCACAATCAACCAATCACAGAACATCTTCCTAGAGCTTCGTGCCGACCCGATGTTTTAGAGTAAATCCATTTACCAAGTCAGTCCCGAGCCGAGTCAAATGTCCAAGTCGCATAAAAAAAGACGAAACTGAAGAAAATTTACAGTCAAATAGGGTTAGGAGTAGGCTTAGGGTACTAAGTCATTTTACCGACAAAGACAGTTGAACAGTGACTCAGACATTTGACTGCAACTCGGATTTGAGTCGGTCAGTAATTGACAAACTCCGAAATCGAATAAAATTCACAGTTGAATAGGGTTAGGGTAAGTTAGGAGTGGGATTGTGGTTAGGATTAGGGTACTAAGTCGTTGAACTGCAAAGACCATCGATTAAACAATGACTCGGACATTTGACTCGGATTTGACTTGGTTAACCAATAAACACCGATGTTTTATCTGGCAGTATTGCCAAATTTCCAAATTTAATTTTTTTTTAACTTTTTACCAACTGACAACATTTGTGTTTTACCATGGAAATGGATCAATTTGCTTTCTGGCTTCCGAGTGTCTTATGGCCTAATAATATATTAACATCATTATATTATTACTTATTCTAAGCTATTAGAATATGTATGTTCAAGGAAGTTTGGATTGAAATTTTAAACCAAATTGAATTGAAAATTTGCTAGTGATAGCTTGTTTGGAAGTTTGTCTTAGACTTAGATTAGACTGTTTCCTCCAAAAATGCATGATTGTATGTATAACATTGATACATTTATAACGTTGATGTATATTCTATGTCCCATTTGCAATTGTCATTAGAGTGAAGTACAACTGCTCAGCTTCTTGCCAATGGTTGGTGTAAGCCACTATTTTCAAGTTCATTTATTCATTGTTCGCTATAATACAATACTAATCAAGGCGGATACCATAGAAGAAATAATTTTGTGAATTGGTAGAGCATATAGTCGAAAGATGAATATAGATCATATACTCCTATCAGGAATCCCGCGTTAGCTGTAAAACAAGCGTGACTTCAATAATTTCACATATGGTGGTATAAAATTGCATGTTTAGTGGTATATTTGTCGTGAATACTCGTGATTTTCTCCAATTTTCATCATATATAGCTGATAACGTATGATTTTTTATTAATTATATTAAAACTATACTTAAAAATGCACTATATTCAGTGCATTCAAGCCGAGTGCATATATATCTACAAGTTTTATTTCACAAAATAATATATAAAACAACAATCCTATTAATAAAATACAACATTTGTGTGAACGCAATCTTAATTTAATACGTGTTGAACAGGCTGCAAATTTTGTTCACGATTATTTTCCGTCTCCTTTAGGCAACAATGAATAGAAATTTAGGTCAAGGGAAAAGAAATTGTTGTGTGTTTGGTTGTGCCAATAGTGATTACAAACTGTTGAATTGAGCAAGAAGTCATGAATGTTTAAAGCAAACAATTGGTGAGTGCGATTGTACACCCCCATTTCAACTTTTTACCTTTCCCGGTGAATAAAAATGATCCCCTTGCTAGAAGTCAATGGACAAAACTGGTCAGTAGAAGAGATTCAAAAAATGCAAATAAAGTTTGGAAGCCAAACAAAAACTTGCGGGTCTGTTCTAAGCATTTTGTTGATTTAAAACCAACTGAGGGAAATCCAAACCCTACTCTACATCTAGGTTATCAGAATGTTCCATCTATCAAGACAACAAAGCGTCCAGCTAAAAGAACTTGTACAAGCTCAACAAAGGCAAAGAAATCTTTAGTTGCCCATTTATCTGACAATGACACCACAAATAAGTCAAACTTTGATCAGCCAGCTACTATCCTTACTACTACCAGCTTAGTGAATGAGTCAATGGAAATAGAAGAATGCTTGTGTCCATTTTACCCAATGGTTTCTTCAATTTTGTTTCAAAAGCATGGGGAGGAAGAACATCCGATAATCATCTGACAAGGAATTGTGGCTTTTTAGACCTTGTTGAACCTTATGATAGTGTGATGGCAGATAAGGGATTTCAAATTAGAGAAGACTTGTTGCTGAGAACAGCTGAACTCCACATTCCACCTGGCAGACATGGAAGCGAGCAGATGTCAAAAGCTGATGTAAAGAAAACACATGAGATTGCAAACAGACGTATTTATGTGGGAATGGCCATAAGAAGATTGAAGACCTTCAGCCTGATAAAGTATGAGTTACCAATAACTTTAATAAATCAGATAGACAATATAACAGGTATATGTGCAGATTATGCAATTTATATCCCCCCCCCCCTCCATAAAGCATAATTATATTCAGCTTGGTATTGATCAAGATACTCTCATCACCAATTATGTAGCTGAGGGAATAATTTGAGTAATATTTTATATGGTTGTAAATCTTGTAACCTTGGGTATTTCCAACCATTTACGGAGCTAAAGAGATAATCAAATTTAACTGATTAACTGGCAATGAACCCAAATCCTACCACCTATTAATTAGTATCTTACTCTGTATAATCAGTGGCGCCGTGCGACCCATGTTTTGGGGTGGGCCAAGGGCAGTAAACCCAAAATTTTTCCGGACAACAACATTTTAAATCTTCACTTCCGTCGACAACTTTGACAATTTCTGACAACTTTCCGACAACATTGGCAATTTTCCAACGGGTCTCAACAATAGGGGGGGGCATGGCCCCCCCGGCCACGGCACCACTGTGTCTAATGTTAGATGATTTTATTTTCAGTGAAAGGGCACTGTCCTCAGTGAAGAGTAAAATTGTCTGGCATTAATTAAACAGTGGGTGAAATTAATTAAAACACTTTAGTGTGTAGGCATCTGGACTCACTGTCAGCTAATGGGTTAATTAATAAACCAGACACTGGCAGATAGTTCTGGTAAAGAAAAGTTATTTGAATAACATGACACAGATTCATATTTTTCACATAACAGTAACTCAGAAACATAAACAATTCCATGTTAGTGTTCGTAATAAATATCGTAAATCGCTTATAAATTGCTCGTAATTCGCTCGTAAATCGCTGTGAACTCCCTCGTATAAACAACAATGAAACAATATATTATACTTCAAAACAATACAAAATTTACAATAACAAAACAATTACGTACATGATTGACAGTTAAGTGGAAATACACACCTAATTATAGCATAATGTCTCTGTCTGATAATGTAAACGATATATTAAAATGTTAATAATTACTCTGTTCATAACACTCCCCAGGGTTGAGCCGTATACAGTGCTCAACAATACTCCCCAGAATAATTGTAAACTACAAATATGAAAGTTTCACGAACTACAGTCTGTCTAACTGTTTGCATAATTGGTTTGTCAAATCATTAATTAACAGATGTTTATGTCTTCTTTTGAGACTCTTTAATCTGTTCCAATCTTCGCAATTCACCCACTACAGCAGCATTGCGTCACGGTCGACCAGTTGACGACACGGCGGTTGATGATTCATCTTCTGTTCTCTCTTTGTTGATTTCATTTCTTGTATATTGTCCGTGTTCCTAGCAGTTCGTCTAACTTTAAGTTCGTTGACAAACCTTAACACGTACGCTGTTACACGTAACAGCTTAGCGAAGCTGCTGAATGAATGAATAACAGTCTGCAGTTTCTTAACGGTTTCGTTCAAGGCTGTGTCATCCAGGGCGCTCACTGCTGGATCCTTTGGCCACTCGCACTGAGGCTTGTAAAGATACTCTGGTCCACTCCACCAAACAAGATCACATGCTTGTATCCCACGAGAAGGTAAATCGGCAGGGTTTTGAGAACCGGGACAAAACCCCCATGAAGTTTTCGGCATAAGTTGTTGTATTTCTTGTACTCTACTATAATATTGTATCTTTTTACTTAGACTCAGGGCGCGAAATAACGGCCGGTCAACGGACAATGTCCAGCCAAAACGGCCATTTGTCCGGCCAAACTTTCGAGTGACCGGTCATTTTGACCAGCGATTTCAGCCGAAATCGGCAATAAAACTTTCAGTCCAAACTAATGCTCTGACCAGTGAGGTTAAGAATATTCCCTGTCTTCTTTGCCTCATCATTCTTAACAGAATTTCCACCTTCACAGCTCAATACTACTTAGGAAACGTCGAACAGACGAACACTGTATCCTTGTTGACCCGCCATTTTGAAAGTTTTAGTTGGAGTACTTCATGTTATCTGAACGTTATGGATACTTTACCAGTGAACTCTAATAATAACTGGAAGGCTAAGTCAGGGGGGGAGTTATTATTAGAGTTCACTGTAACTGAACAGGGTGGACTTCCGTCTACGCATGCGCGAGAAACGTAAGCGTGGAGTGCACGTGAGCGCGGGTTAATCGCGTGACTGAATTATAAAAACAAACATCAAATTTGCAAAAACTACTCGTGTTATGAAGTTGTTTTCTTGTTTCTTTAGTGTTTCTACGCTCACAATTTTAGGCATTTCCAACTTAGAAGTGTTTGCTTTGGAATAAGAATGTGAAAGTAGAAATAAAAACTTTGTTGCAGCAGTTTAATTTCGCAGTGCAAATATACCTGTTTTTAATATGAATATCTTTTTCGAAGTGAGATATACAAGTGCAAATTGACCTTCTTTAAATTCGTACTTGCCCTATTTTTCTCTCCATAAAAACTACTTTTATCGATGGAGAAACTATTTGACTCTAAAAATAAGCTTGAATTTTTGTGGTGATATAGGCTCACTTCTTTGCAAACAGTGATTTAGTACTCGGTAGTGTAGTTGTTGTTTATGAACAAAAGTCTAAAATGGATTCAACATCCGTCAACAAAAAGGAGTCGCGCTTATTACTACTCTGTAGAGGATAGACAATTAATTTAACTCACTAGGAACCCATTCTACAATATAAACTAGAAATCGGCCAACAAATTGCCACGAAATACTACAATGAAAATAGGGTCTCTGAACTACCAATTTCACCAAACGGTCAAGTTTCTCTGCAAAGATCGCCCCTTTGCCCAATTTTCCTCGAGTAGATCATCGTGTTTTTTAAGTCAAGGATTATGTATACATTAACATAAAAGAATAAAAAAAGTGTTGATAAAGGGTAGATTTTGAATAAAATACGAATATCTGTATACAAGATCTGAGTGTTATTATGAAGCACTCTATACTTTTTCCAACAACATATTGCGATTAATTTTTTACAAAATTAAAAATATTCACACATTAAAGATATGAAAATGTAGCTTGCATTACAAAGAAATGTTGGCTTACCTAAGTTATACCTTACACGTCGATTAAAGTCAAGTAAAGCCCTTTCAAAGACGTGTGTCACATTAAACTACAGGTCACATGGCGGTAGAGAACTCGACGAAGTATTCAGGATATTTCATAGCCAGTTTAAACCCTGCTGTGCACTATTCCTGTGAATTATGTTGCCCAACACACCGGGTAACAAAATTTACCACTTTGTTCGGCTGTTCCAAGTACACTTTTATGATACAAGGTCCGATTATATCATGTTCTTCGAAGCATCTGCTCAAAACAGTCCAACATAAATGTCGCCACTCATCTTCTTCGTATGAAAAAAGGTTTTCCTTTCAATTGCTTTGCTTTAAAAACAGTCGTTAGGTTGTTGAAGAGTTAGCCTGCAAGTTCCAACAAAAAACCCCCCGATGCTTTAAAAAACCAGTGAATCACAATGCTGTAAACTTCAACATCCTTAGAAATTGTAAGCAAAACATCGAAAAGCAAAATTTGCGGGAAAAAGTTCACGAGCCCGCACTATTTTCATGCAGTGTCGACGAAAGTCCACCCTGTTGTTCACTGTACTTTACCAGAAAGACCGCTGGACATTGCGATTGCATATTGTGCATTTTCGCCAAGCGTGTTTCAAACGAAAAAATGTTTATATTTGTTTTTATACAGTATACTTATCGAAAGTATTAAATGTCGTCGAAAAAACATTAAATATCGCTGCATAGGGTGCAAAATTCCAATTTGCAATGTGTGTTCAGTGGCTTGCTCTGAGAAAACGCCTGGTTATTGCGAGCAGAGCTATTTCCTTGGAAAATGTGATGAATGTCAAACAAGCAACGCGAACAGCAAAAGACAATCGTTTTCTGAACCTCGGGTCTTAAACAAACCTCGACAATCCACGCTGTCCTCCTTTTTTGTCAAGAATGACAAGACTTCATTGGGAAATAAAGAGTCAGCACCAACTGCTACCAACTCAGGGACTTTGACAAAAGAATTTCCACAATCAACACCAGGACAAAGAACACTCACAAATAAGAAATCACGAAATTTAACAACAGCAGCAGCTAATCGATGGAAAACAACATCATTGGCAACATACATGGCGAGTGACTGGCTTTGTAGTGAATGCAGACAATGCCGATTGCATAACTAGCTTGAATTGTTCTGTTTGCAAAACCTATGCCGACCGTTTGAAAGGAATGAAAAACGTTTCCACTGCTTGGGCGTTCACAGGTTCCGAAAACCTCCGGTTAAGCAATGCAGAAGACCATGAATCCGGAGAACCTCATAAGAAAGCAATGGATCTGTATTTAAGTGAGAAGGGACTAAGTGCCACGGACAGAGCAGAGTTTATAAGTACTCCCGGACAACAAAACATTGCACTTAGTATTGCCAACATGCAAGCCAGTGCCAAGACAAGAACAAAATTCGAAATCGCACACTTCATTGCAAAAGAAGAACTTCCGTTGAAAAAGTATCCCAAACTTTTAAATTTGGAAGAAAAGCATGGCGTCGAGATTGGCAACACCGAAGTATAGTTACAAGGGTGTGTCATTGTTGGGATGTTTCAGTGTTACTGGAGTGTATATATATATATATGTGTGTATATATATATATTTATATCACACTTGCGTCGGTTTTCTTTGTTCGTCCGAGGTTTATAACTAGCTTATAGACCTTGAATAAATGATTGGATTAAACTTGTAGACAAAACGCGAGAATTTTTCATTAAAAATTTTTGAAAATGACAAAATATGTTGGAAAACCTCCACAAGTGTGATATAAGTTAGTTATAAACCGAGTAAGTCGGTTTATAACTGATATATTGCCCCTCGGATGCTACGCGTCCATATATCAGTTATAAACCTCCTACTCGGTTTATAACTCTTACATACACAGAGTATATCTATATATACTGGAGTGTATATATATATATATGTGTATATATATATGTATATATGTATATGTTATAAGTAGCGATTTACACATCGTAAGTCACGATTGCTTGTTATAAGTAGCGATTTATACCTGATAAGTTGCAACGGCATATTATAAGTCGCGATTCACATGTAATAAGTTGCGATCGCGCTTTATAACTTGCTATTGTGCGCCATAGCTTTCGATCGCATATCATAATTGGCGATCGCGCCAATCTGCCACAACTGTGTGACATATGTTGCAATTGCGTGTTATATGGCGATCATGCTAAAAAGTGTTGTGTATTAATGGATGGACCTAATGAGCCACGGTACCAATTGCCTGTGCAGGGTTTCTGACATAGTATTTTCACAGTAAGAAGTAATATATGAACAACGAGAGCGAGTGTTTCATCGGGATATCCAAACACGAGAAAACAATGTATGAACACACGAGCGCTAAACGCGAGTGTTTTCGTACATTGTTTTCAAGTGTTTGGATATTCCGGTGAGACACGAGCTCGAGTTCTTTGTATGACTTCTCAAATGAACCGAGACGTAACAGAATGTTTTCGTTTGCTGATTTGAATAGAATTCTTAACCAAGCATAACATAATTAGGAATTCTATTCAAGTAATTTTACATGCGTAATTAAGATATTTTGATGAAAACACTAGTGACTTTCATGATCAAATTGGTGATTATCATTGGCTGAATTGCTCATGAATTATTAATGAATTTGAGAAGTATATGTAAATAGTCCCAATAACAGTGTGTAATACATTTGTTTGCTGTCAAGTTTTCCCAAAGCTTGGCATGGTGCAATTGTTTTGAAATGCAAACTAAAGCAAGCACATTTACCACGCCCAGGTCAATTTGTCGCATTTCATAGGACATTAATTTTCTAACATTTAACTCAATTCAATCCGCCAATATTAATTTCCGACGTATATGACGGGAAGATTAAATATTAAAGAACTACGCGAGTATTTGCAGTAGACATACGAAAATACCACCAAAAAATTCCGCTTGATCGATACTATGTATTCAGAAATATTCATATAATTTTATTGTTTCTCGCTCAATTTCAAGCGAATTTCTTACCTTGAAATGATCAATGCGGTGAAATTTATGCCATTTGCATTTGCACATTATCAATTTTGCTGTTGCATTTTGAATGTTCCGCCTGATTCAAATGCTCGTCTTTTTGCTTCTTTTCAACGTATAATAATAACAAATATACCAAAAGAATCGCCATCTTCCATTCTATAGCTCGGAGCAGTCTCGGGAAATTGCAAAATAATCTAAGCCTATTATGGCAATTCTCGTGATCGGAAAGTGTTCGGCCAACTTCGGACGCCAAATTCTTGGTAAAGCATTACAGTTTCCTGGTAAAAGACTGCAGGAATCACTTCCGGAGTGTTTGTTTACCCTAGATACGGATTTTGATTGGCTTAGGCAGAAAAACAAATCTTTTAGAGCAATTTTCCTGATTATCGCGCACGGGAACGCACGAGCGTTGAAATGTATTGTGTTGTAGTTTTGTTTGAATCGCATTCTGAAGACGTTTTTGGCTTTATTTTGCAAACTGATAGTGCTAGTAATGATGGAATGTCTTCGTATGAAGACAAGTATCTCAACCTGGCATTGGGAGTCGTGTCTGGAGTTTCAAGGCAAGTATTTGTATCATTTCTAGACAATTTCTATTTCAATGTTTTGCCGTTGCCATGGCGTTGTAAATTTATTTGTATTTAGTATAGCTTCACTAGTACGACCAAGTATGTCCTCATATCGCTTTTTTGTGTTGAAATAATCGTTTCATACTGAAATTGACAAATATAAATGGTATTTATTTATATTGTTGACGAAAATTTATGGTGTTTTAGGCATAAAAATCTCTGATTCCTAGGCGAAGTAAAATGAGCCTTGAGCACATGTTTGGTTGTTTGTTACATACATAATAGCCAAGTATTCATACTTATATCTTACTAGTTGGCTCTTATTATAATTTTAAGTGGCACCATGTCTATAAAAGTTTTTATTCGCACTGATGAATATATTGATCCTGTTCCTATCTGCTGTTCCTGTTTCATAGCCTCAGGGAAGTAGAGTTCTGATGAGTCATGAGAACCCCACTCACCAACCCAGAGGGAAGGTAGGGGGATGAGTAGAGGTAGAGGGAAGCCCAGCCATTAGGACCTAAGGTTTCGAAAGCTCCCTGTCTAGCATCCCCACTAGGCCCCATAGTACATGACGGATATGATGATCCTGACGCTAGGAATGTTCTCCCAGATTTTGCTCCTCACTGACATGTCCGGGATCCATTTCGATCAACTGTGAGCTTGAGTTCATTCGGCTCAATGAACTGTGAGCTTGAGTTCATTCGACTCTTTTTTACTAAGGGAATGCTTCAGGAGGTAGTTTCCTGGCCATACCAATACATATGCCCACATACAAATAACTCAAAAGTTATCCCCATATACTAATAAAGAAGGGTCTTGCAGTCCACCAACCTTGAGAGGTTGATTGCCTTTTAGTATAATATGCAGGTTTGCTAAAGGTCGACAGTGAGATTGAAAATTATTGGAGTGTAAAAACCTTATATCATGGTCTGTGGGCAATAGACATAATTTCTCGGGTTAGGTACAAAGCGCTTATGGCGTTTGTGAATATGGTAGATCCTGTACTAAAGACTACAGCAATAAACTGCATCAACAACTGTACCAGCCGTCACAGAATATTGTTGTTGCAGACAAACACACTGTCAAATCAAGAAATAGGTTGGGGGTTAGGCAGTTCATGAAAGCTAGATGACCTACTATGTGGGGAATAAATCTGTGGGTTGCTGCAGACAATCCTAATGGTTATATTGCGACTTTGAAATTTATACAGGAAGAAGTCCAGATATTCATCGCAACAGATTTGGGTATGACGTGGTGATCTGATATCAGTTTGGTTACAGCCTTAGGTCTTTTGTAGTACAATATAAAGGAAATATTTTCACCACATAATCCAATTATGTGCTTTGGCAAACATTACTGCTTTAGCAAACATTACTGCCTTGGAAAACATTACTTTTTTATAACTACTAATTATGATGATGCCAGTCCAACAACACTTGGTCATGCTATTTGCAAATATTTTCATGTTCTAGATTGTGAAAACAATCAATTTCTAAACAAATGAGTAGTGATTATTTCAAATTTGAATAGCATGACCAAATTTTCAGGCTGGTTATGACACTAATAACTAAAGTCAATGGTGTAATGATTATCTAAGAATGTATGTAGTAATTGTAGAAATAAAGACATTTTGCTAATCATGATTTGAGTGTTCTTTTGTGGGTATCACAGACTTATTTTGGTGCCATACTATCTTTGGAGAGTAAGAAATATTGGAAATTTGTATTGATAACATGTTGCAGCGATAAAAAAGGACCTTTGATAAAGGTATTTGTTTCATGTGAGCTCAAAATGTAAATTTTACTCCACTACCTAGTTTATATAAAAATTCAATAAAAATATTTCTATTTATGCTACATGCATGAAACTTCGGGTACTTGTAGATCATAACCGTGTCTTTCAGTCATATTCATAAAATTTTTTGACATATTTGAAATTTGAACCGCTAAATACATTTATGCATAATTGCAACATTTTTTTATATCATAATTTATGCAAATTTATGCGAGTAAATCGTTAACCAAGCTCCGGATGAAATTGAAATTGGTATCGTTGGAAAGCAGAAGTCCTCCTCTTTCGAACGGTGCAATTTCTGTTTCCGTGCGATGTATAGTTTGAGAGATATAAGCGTTTGAAACAACACCACTCGAAATTACTACTTTTCCACCGGATGAGAATGAGTTAAAACACTTAGCACATAATTCTTTTTTTTAGATGGTACAAACTGGTGGGAAGATCCCTGAACTGGTATTTTTTTGCACTTCTGACTCCTCGTTACCAATCGATAATTCGTTGTACCATAATTTTTTGAAGCCATACCAAAAAAGGCATTACCAGAGGCCAACACCTGTCCAATGATCCTACATGTGCCTACCATCCACTCAAATTATGATGCTTTCTGCAATGCCATGGATACAGCACTTGTATGTGCAAAACATGGATTTGAAAAACTATGACTCATGAAAAGATGGAGTCGTTGACATTTTTATTGAAGCGTGTCATCTTTAGACAAAAAGTGGGTTCTACTTTTATGGAAAGGTCAACATTGATTTTCGCTGATAGGTTTTTTTGGGTTTGACTGTCTGTTTAGAACAGTTGGGTGTGTTGTTAAGGCTAAGTGTGGCAATGTTCCAAAAAGCTTAGTTTACAGGAGTTTATAGTAAATATTACACTTCCATCCACTTCCAAACCATGTGTTCTATTAGTTAACATGCACAACTCATCGCAAATGAACATACAGCCTCATTAAACAAACAATCTATTCAGGGTCACACAGAGAAATTCTGGGGCCTGGAGCAAATTTTAATTTGCGGGCCCTATAATTTTTCCAAAAATGTTGGTGAGGAGGGGGTAGGGTCAGAACATATAGATCGCATTTCCGCTAAAGTCAATCAACGCCTAGGTCTACTTCGTAGGATTAAACACCTGCTACCATTAATGAACAAATCCTTTTTTATAACAGTCTCGTACTCCCAATCTTTGACTATGTGGATGTTATATGGGGAGACAAAAATAATACAGTGTTAACGAACAATCTTCAGATACTCCAGAACAAAGCCGCCAAGATTGTTTTAGATAGAACTTTTTTTCATTGGCAACAGACGCGTTAAACACTTCAGGCTGGACTACTCTTGAACAACGCAGATTGTATCATAGATGTTTATTAGTTTTTAAGTGTCTAAATAATCATACCTCACATGGATTTGAACTTCTAGCGAACAGAGTAATACACAACTACAATACACAATATAAGGACAATTTAAGGCCACCTAAATTGTCAAGGAATTGGGAAAAGCAAAGACTCGCTTATCAGGCCATAACAGACTGGAACAACTTGGACAGAAAGATAAAATTATCTACCAGTATTTCTACATTTAAGAGACACTTTTTTTAGCAATCTTTGGACTTTCCATCATATAATTTTTAACTATTTTTCATAGTTATGTAGCATATATGCATGTCTTCCTTGTAAAATAGTTTATTTAGTTCAATTTTGCCCCCCCCCGAGCAAATTTCCCCATTCCCCCTGGATCTACCCGTCGAAACACAAAGAAACTAGCCTGCTCATTGGTTAAGTGCTTTTGATCAATTACTGTATCTCACTGTGTTATAAACTGTGTTTGGCAAACAGTACAAGCAAGAGGATTTACTCTGTTAATAGATCCTCTAATCCTTTCTCGTTGTACATTCAAAGCCCCTTTATCGGAGAGCCCCTCGCACCAAAGTCAATCCTATTCGAGGAGTTTTTTGCAAAACATCCCTAACATGGTCGTCAATGTGTTCATCAGATACGTTAGCGTAATTTCCCTGTGTCAATAACAAACCAAGTTCATACCTTCTGCTTCTAAGTGTTCTCTTGGAAACACCTAAACATCAAATGTCAACCTATCGAAGACCAAAATTATCTTGGAAGAAGTGGAGCTGATTCTCCTCCAACATGGTTCCACATCAAGGCTGGCCAACCTCTCCAGTATGTTGAACAAGGTGATTCATTTGTACGTTTTGCTGGTCTAGAGAATCGTGATCAGAGACATGTTGGAATAAATTGTCAACTAGTTTGTTTAGTCTTTGTCTTTCAGCAGAAGCCTGAATTACTTGTGCATTTAGCAAACTAAATGACTCTTCCAACGTTTCTAATTTGGTGATCCAATACTGTGAAGAACAATCACATCACAGATGCATAACTGTTGCCTTGCTCATACCAATGTTGCCTCCACATTTTCGAAGAAATTTTGTGTATAAGGCAACCAGCAAACTGCCATCTTAGTTGTCAACCACCAAGGATATTAGAAAACTTATGGAAACTTGGAAAAATGTTCACAAGGAGGCGAGGGGATCCAGGCTTGAGGAGGATTGGTTGAGGTTTAAGATCTTGAAGAGAGAAATCAAACGAGAAATATGTCATGCTGAACTTGCTCAACTGCATAGGTTGCCCGATATCCCTCTGGTAAGCACTATCTCTCCACTGCCTGATTCAGATTTATTCACATTTCAAGAAGTTTCCTGACCCAAAGTATGTGAGATCGTTATGGCAATGCCACCTAGTAAAGCTCCCGGGTATGACAAGGGGCACTCTCGGTTGTGAAAGATTGTCTTCCACATATTTTACCAATCTTGACGGACCTGATTAATTCCTCATTTACTAATTCTGTATTCCTGCATGCCTGGAAAAAGGCGGAAGTTATCCCTCATCCCAAAGATGGAGACCAAGAGGTAGCAGATAATAACCACCCTATCTCGCTTCTCCCTGTTCTCTCTAAGGTTGCAGAGAAGATTGCTCTTGGCCAATTTAACAACTACCTGACACGAAATAACAGATTGGCTCAACATGAAAGTGGTAATCGGAAATTCCACTTGACTGAGACATTAGGTCTGGCAGTGGTAGACAACATCTTAAGGGTTTGGATGAGAAGAAGCCGATGGCAATGGTCACGATAGATCTTAGCAAAGCCTTTGACAGCATAAGTCACAACATCCTGTTGCAAAAACTTTGTGTTTTGGTACATCAAAGCAAGCGTGTATGTGGTTTAAGAGCTATGTAACCAATCGTCAGCAATGCACTAGAGTTGGAACCTCAACATCAGATCCTCTTGCTGTCACATACGGCGTTTTGCAAGGGTCTATTTTAGGACCAATGCTTTTCAGTCTATACCTGAATGACTTACCAACAGTGGTAAAGCACAGCAACGCAGAGTCATACATGGACGACACAAAGCTATATCTCTCATTCCCCGAGGGATATAAATAATTCTATAGAACAGCTGGTCATCTATCGAAAAGCAGCTACTTTTGCAAGATGCTACCCCGATGTATAAGATTATAAATGGCTTCCCTCCTTCGTACCTTAGAATTAGGCTTCAGAAACGACAATAGGTGCACATGTATAATACAAGACATAAAGATCACTTAGACACACTCACATGTAGGACAGCCACTGTGCAACAATCTTTTTTCTACCGCGATGTGAATTTCTGGAACTTACTTAGTTCGAAGAGACATAATAGCCAAACATTGCCCAGCTGGCACACGACGTCGAAATGAAGTCGAGACGTCGATCGACTAAATATTGACGTCGTTTCGACGTCACCTTCACGACGAATTATAGACGTCGTAAAATCAACGTTGTTTCGACGTCGCTCTGATAACGAGTTATCGATGTTGCAAAAACGACGTTGTTTCGACGTCATTCTGACGTCGTAGTGGCGACGTCGCATATATATCATGCGCGCAGTGATCTCAGTGATCGAAGTCAAATTAATATACTCTATAAATACTATTGTGTGAAGCCAAGATCGCAGCAAAAGAGATGATCTCTTGTCGCTATATAATAAAGAATGAACGAGGTTTTCCGATCGATATTTTTCATTTTTGTACGTACCGATTAATGAAGATTCATTTTTAGAGGTAAATACCCTAATTAAAAAAGCTAAAAACTAAAGGATAGATTGATACAAGTGCAGTCCGATATATCCACACTAATTGTGTTTATCAAACCCTCTGGCTCAGAAGTCAGATGATGTAATTATTAAATTATAGGCTAGTGCTTCTGAAATTTGCTTATTCAGAACAGCCAAAGTATTAAAAGCCGGACATATAAATTATATATAGTCGGCTGAGAAATTGTTAGATTTTTAAATGAAATATATTCAGTGAATTTCCGCGTATATAGTGGCCTCAGTCATAGACGGGCTTGAATTTCCGCCATCTTCGACTTCAAACACACAGCATGCAGGAGTTATCGTTCCAGTTTTATACTTATAGACAGACCACATTTTTCCCCCTTTCGATAATTGCCAATTGTGAATTGGCCCGTTAGCCATTACAACATTATTTGTAATAATTTGACAACATTGTATACAGGCAAACTGACTATATAATAATTCTGGATGCAACTCACACTGATTTTACAGTACGATTGAATATGACATTATTGGATACGCTCGTTGATATTTCTCAAATTTTCACTGGTAGCCTGAAATTTCAGGCGTTCTAAGGTTCGATAAAAATATACATTGTTTTACTTAGCAACGAAGCAACGGAAAATTTTGAAATGAAGATTATAATTGTGAATTTTTAATAGTCATTGCATACATGATCGAAGGTCATTTCCAAAATTAAACGAGATAATGGAGATATGGCCATAATTTATTACAAGGATCACACTTTATATCCCAACGCTTATCCTTCTGTCTTCCACGAGGTCCGCCAAATATATTTATCCAATCGCAAAGCCAGATTAGGTGAATAAATTTGACTGATAATTACCTATGTCGAAATAAGATGCGGAAGCGACTTTGTGACAACGTCACAGATTCGTTTAACGTCATCGTGAAACACGGGTGAAACGCTGTTTATTGTGAATTGTGAAACGCTGTTTATTGTGAATTTGTGATCAGGGATTTATTTGAAGCCGAATCAACCAACATCATCTGCGGGAAATGGTATGTTTTATACGAATTTTAGTGTTTGTAGAAGTATATATTTCTCCATTTCCCTCTTCACAACATTTGTTGAAATTTGGAATATGTTTCGAATTACATGATATGTTATATATTTTTTACCGCGCTGGTATATAGGCTAGGAAATGCACCTACCAGAAAAATACAAACAGATCTTCCCTCGAAAGGTTCTGTTTCATTTATATATATATTTCTGGTAGTTGTATCTCTTACACGATGCTGTTGTAATTTTGTTGTATAAATATAAAATACGCCGTGGATATTCGTCCGACACCGGAACTCAATGTCTGATGGCTATTTATCCGACATATTAAATATCAACTAAAAATGCTGCAGCAGTCTAGCGCAAATAGATTTGGCACACACTGGCAGTGCATGCTGTTGATATTCAAAATTATGCGAGCGACGGAGTCGAGAATACTATTTCCAAAGAAATATTAACCAACATGAAGCTTCAAAGCGAAAATCTATCTTATGAATGGTTTTGAAAGTTTGTAAATGAAAAGGCGTAATTTTTACTTATGAAACAAAATGCACCTCGTGTAAACGTTCTGTGGCGCTAGATAGCCCAAAAATCAGTGGTAATAAATTTCTATTCAATAAAAACTATTTTTTTCTCTGTGTGTCTGCTTGGATACAGAGCATATCAAAACTACTACTCAGTTCCTGACTGCATTGTTTACAAATACGTGTGTATTTATTCAAAATATACAAAAAATTTTTATTCAACAGAAATTTTTTGCCAGTTATTTTTGGGCTACCAGTAGGATGTGGCTTGGTTATATGCTGCTGTTAGGTTGAGCGACATCAGATTTCACTACTTCGTTGTGAATTTGGCACTTAAAACTATGATAGTATAACATATTTAAACAAAAACTTCAAATATAAAAGTTGTAAGAGCAGACAAGACTGGAAAACACCATAAATTGATGTCACTCCGATATGAATCCGGTATCGTGTAACTGGGGCTTGAGTGGCAAATTTTTTGGCTAGGCCAGTTTGAACGCTGTGCTCGATATCAAACACATGCTTGGTCTGCTTGTCCATGTTCCAACCGAGCTATCTGTTCAAGTCGATTCAAATCTGTCATATTTTGCAACTCAATCTATTTGATATTTGTATATCTTTTGTGAACTAATGTTGACAGCAGTGCTTAAGGTCTAGAATTTTAAATTTATTTGTGTTAGTGTGAGTGTGTGCACACAGTGCACTAGTCAGTATGAAAAATTGTTTGACCAAAATATAGACAACTAGGCTGAGGCCTAAAAAATACCTGTGGTTCCAGTTTCATATTGTGAAAATATTAGGGTAGGCAGGTCGGAAATAATTTTTTGCTGAGTGATATTTAGTGCTGACATCAATATTAACTGGAGATAATGTCATATTTGCTATGGGTGAATTTAGGCATCTTGGTTCAATAATAATTGTGACAACAGATGCCATTTTTGCACACCTTATGACAAGCTTACAACCACCCGGAGAAAATGGGGTTGCATGTCAATACGTCTGAAAAATGCTAGGGTGGCCAGAAAAAAATAGGGTTGGTTGGGAAACTGGAACCACAGGTCTTTTTAGGCCTGAGTTGTGAAATATCCCACACTCGAACCAACTTGACCTCAGAGCTTAGTTGGTAGAACATTAATTGGACTAGCAAACCATAAACCACTGGATAAAGCTTCTATAGATGTCAAAAGTGAAGCCTAATTATATATGTGAAATGTCTTCTGGGGACCACAGTATGATACAAATTACTATCAGGGGTGTAGAAATGTATGGCTTGCAAACATGACTTAAGGTAAATTTTGTCAAATTTGAGATACCGTAAACCTCCAACTATAAGCCCCCGCCCCCAAATATACTGGTAAGCCACCCCATGTATAAGCCATAGAAATAATAGCCCACCACATGTACTAACGCTCACCTCATTCTGAATATAAGTAGCCTGCGAAAAAAAAATGGCTTGAGATTTTACAGTGTAATATATCAAGTTGTACTTTTAGTTATTACAAATCAATCTGCATGTGTGTCTGTGGACACAGTAAGTTTAAAGTTGTATATTACCCGCTAACATACTAATTCAGTTGTTTGGAATTGCTACGTGCTGCAACCCATAATATATACATAATAATATAACTTACTGAAATTTATGGCTTTGGTGAGACATAGACATATATGATATACCATGGACATTAGACATAATTTAATAATATGTTTATACTTCAAATTTTGCCACAAAAAGTGGAATTAAACATGGATGCATGTGATAATAGTGTAAACAAAGTGACAAGTAAATTACTGTACATTTTACTGCTGCATACTTATAAATATTAAATGGTCAGTAACATTGTAAAACAAGCTTAATACACACAATATGCACTGAATATTATCAGAATAATTCTCAATATGACTGACTTGTTTATCACTAACACAATAAAATAAACACTGGTAAGTTGGCACTGTAGCCCTAACATGAAGTTTTGCCGCCGCTATACCTACTACAGTTTTACACAACGAATATAATCAAATAGAATTTACAGTTTGGAGTGACACTGTACTTTATTGTGTGAATAACTATAGAACAATAACTTGGCATTCAGAATATCTAAAGTTGTGAATTGCATAGCAAGAATGTAACAGCGTATCTACAATACATATTGTAGTAACAGCTGTCCTGAGAGCTTTCAAATACCATTTGCCAGTACGGCCAGGGGCACTGTTAAACCCCCTCGATCAATTATGTTAAACCCCCTCGATCAATTATTAGTAGACCCTATTTACAGAAAAAACTTGTTGATTAGTATAAATTATATCATTTGTATGCCCCAAGGGGTTTATCTGGCCTTAAAGCCAACCTCAAGGAAACTGGAAACCAGTTAAGCAAATTTATTGCAACTCAACAATTTGACCCTTCAATTTTCTTTAATGCCCCCCTCCTAGTCATTTATTTATACCCATGGCCCAACCTTATTTTTGCCAAGAAAAATATGTGCACTTCATAGAACAATTATAACAATTTATTGCAATTTATAACAAAAAAATGTACAAAATCAATTAAATTAATACTAACTATGCTCCTGAGTATTAAGCAGCCATCTTGAATCCAGTGACTTATAGTAATGGCGTAATTTTTAACAAGAAATATATGTCATTTTGTGCCAGAAAGTGCCCCAGCGACTAATGAGTTTCGCTCAGTGACCCCCTGAAGTCATTGTTCAAGTTGCATATATAGTTAGGCTTCACTATTAGATCAGTGGTGTCAGCACTCTCTTCTTGATGAGTAAAATCGTCTGCCATTAGACAGAATAAAATTATAAAGTACAGGGTGCATGCATTGCCACTTAAAGGGTTAAATTTTGGCTGGTGATATTAAGTTGCAGCAAAAACCATTAACCAGCCAGTTTAATTAATTAATGATTTTACATTGGCATTTCCTGAGACAAAGTATATTTTGCTTTTATAGCAAAAACTTAGGAAAAATTACAGAACGTTTACATCTGAAATACATGAACTGGCTTTAGGAAATAACAGTGGTGAAGAGTCCGTTTGCTTGCAGCATGATGATAGCCCTGTTTAGCACAGTGACTTATGTGAATCCCAGAATTCGAACAGTGATCAATCTGAGATTGTTCACTCTGATGAACTAGATTTAGTAGTTGATTCATCTGATTCAAACGAAAGTAAGGTTGATGATGATTCTCCAGACCCACTCCCTTCCACTGACGAAACTTTGAGAAGCAAACTGGCTACGAGGGCTACCAAAAACAGATGTCAACGAGATGCCGTGAATCAGCTGCTTCAAATATTAAATACACATGGCCATAGCCTTCCAAAGGATAGCCGTACACTTTGTAAGACTCCTAGGCACATACCCACGCAGCTGAAATGTGGTGGTCAGTACATTTACTTTGGAATTGAAGCTGGAGTCGTTCACATTTTATCATCAAACTGTTCTGCGGCAGCTAAATTAACTGCTGTTGATTTGATCTGTAATGTTGATGGTCTTCCCCTCTTTAAATCTACAAATCAGCAGTTTTCGCCAATTTTAGGTCATTTTAACAACTTTGAGGTTTTTGTAATAGCCTTATTTTATGGAAATACCAAGCCCGATTCTGTGGAAGAGTACTTAAAAGATTTCATTGAAGAAGTAAACAAACAAAATGATGCGGGAATTAACCATGACGGGACAAACTACAAATTTAGTGTGAAATGTTTCTGTTGCGATGCTCCAGCTCGTTGTTTGCTCAAATGCGTTATTGGCCACACTGGCTATTTTGCCTGTGAACGATGCACAGTTGAGGGTACATGGAATGGGAGGGTTGTTTTTAACCTAGACAATAACGATGACCTGCGAACTGATGAACTTTTCTCTTCCTGTTCCTATGAAAGGCATCAGAAGGGGCCCAGTCCTCTCCTGTTGTGCGGTGTTTCGTGCATTCAGCAATTCAGCCTAGATTATATGCATATGGTTTGTCTTGGTGTCACAAAGCGTATTCTTCACTACTTGAAGAAAGGACCGCGTATATGTAAGTTGTCTTCGCAGCAGTTTGCACAAATATCAGATAATTTGAAAGCTTTACAAGGAGCAATGCCCAGTGAGTTTGCCAGACAACCAAGGTCACTTGATGAATTAGAAAGTGGAAAGCCACTGAATTTCATCAGTTCCTTCTTTACACTGGGCCAATTGTATTAAAGAATGTTGTCTCAAAGGATCTTTATCGGCATTTTCTTTGTCTGTCCGTTGCAATTTCCATTCTGTTAGATTCTGACGACAGTAAGCGAACTTCATATATAGAATTTGCTCAGGATCTTCTGCACTACTTTGTAGCAAACGCCAAGAATGTTTACGGAGAAACTTTCACCATATACAATGTTCATGGTTTGAAGCACCTGTCCAATGACGTTAGATATTTCAAGTGCTCTTTAAACGAGATTTCATATTTTCCATTTGAAAACTACATGCAGCAGCTTAAGAAGTGTGTGAGAAATGGGCAGAATCCAATTATCCAGGTAGCTAAACGATTAGGTGAAGTCAGGGAATCTCGTGCAAAGCAACCAGTTGCAGCAAATTTTTCCAAAGTGGGAACAGTCTCCGATAACTTTAAGGACTGTTGCTTTCTACTGGAAGGTAACAGGTATGCATTTGTCCGGGAGAAAAGGAGTAATGGCACATTGGTATGCGACGTTCTTTCCAATCGTCAGGTGGAAAACTTCTACTCCAGCCCTGAAGAGTTGAAAGCCTTCAATGTAGGTTATGTTCGGGATATTCGCCACAAAGCAAAGCGTCTTCTGATCGAGGCACCAGCATTACATCGCAAAGCAGTTTGCCTGCCCTTTAACACAGGATATGTGTTCTTTCCATTGCATCATGAAGTGGAAAGAAGTTTGACTTTATCCATGCATTTATTACCGTTCTTTTATTGCATCTTTCATTGCATGTAAGTTATGGTGTCCTCATGATCAATGGTGCAAAGAGCATCAGATAATATTGTGAAGTATTATCTTATGAATGTTGCTTGACACAAATCTTCGTCTTACTTAACACGATTTTCGTTTTGTTTTTGTAGGACACCATGACGTGGACAAGAGCTGTTTGGCAAGAAGATGATGTCCAAGAAGAAGGTGTTGTACCACATGCTTGGATCGAAGATAAGACGGTGCGTTGGCCCAAGGGAATAAACATACTAAGGGCCTTTTAATGAAAAGAGGATACCTCAAGGTAATTGGTTTAAATTTCCATTGGTCAAGATCAAAGTTACCTCAGGTTTGTGCATAACACAGTGTAAAGCGTGTACGGGGTAATATACAATTGTTTGTAAACTACTGGAATCTATTAGATAGTTTTTATTGTCCGTGCCTATCCAATATTAATACATGCATATGCAAATATCTTTATATAGGAGACAAAAGTGTATGTGAAGAGTACAAATTCACGACAAGTGCTGAAGCAAGCGGTGATGAAAATATTCAACCCACTAATCATGCTGTACAACAACGTAGTAGCAGTAATAAAAACTGTTCCCCAGGTTTGTTTACGTTATAAAAGTATAAATAAACAAAAATGGTTGATAGTATAGTATAGTATATACTTGAACTTCCATGGCAGCATACACTGAATTGCAGACGTTTTACATTGTGATTAGATAGATAAACCGGACTGACGTGAAGCGGACCGAGGTAGACTTTGAGCTTACAAATGGCGCTTTAGCAGTCGCTATTAGTCCATACCCCATTAATGATCTGCTTCCACACCTTATGTGTCTAACCCACCCTGTCAATTGTTTTGTATGCCAGATATATTCACCAATTTTCTAGCTCCTCAATTGAGTGTGCGCACAGTTATCATTTCCCGGACTGATTTTAGATGCTAATGACTGTCTTGTCTATATATTGTGCATTTTACTAAAACCTACACTATATCTCGTTTTTTGCTAGGTTTTCCACCACCGCCAAGATTCCATCCTTCCCATACTCTGGAAAATGCCCGCAATGCAATTGACCGTCTGTCCAGATCAATTGCCTCACCCAACTCCCCTCCATTGTCGACTCCAAAGCGATCACAAAGTTTGTTACCTGATGACGTGTGTGAAACGCATTCTCAAAAACGGAGGAGAAGTCAACCTGATGCACGTCATATTCCTTCGCCAGAGTCATCGCAACGTATCCAAAAAGACTCAACACAAAAAGATGATGCAAGAAGCAAGGAGCTTTCGTTGAGCTTATTCCCAATGTCTGAAGCGCGTAAGTTTATGATATTTTATTAAGATAAACCAAGTTCTTTTGTCGGTAGTCATGTATAATATCCGCACAGTGTACAACTTTAAAATATCTCAATTATTAAGGCATGACATGCTTGTCCTTTCGGCGAAAACAATTGCAAATTAAATAAACAGTTTTCACCATGTACTTCTAAAAGTCTATTGTGGTCTAAGTATTCACCTCTTTACACACGTGTACATACTCTTTTAATTAACACAGGATTTCAAAAAAGGTACTTCGTTTGCTCACAGAAATTCGCGATGGCTTGTAGCAAGTTGGGAATAAGTTTGAGGCAGCAGATTCAGATTTCCATTTGAAACAGATGGTGAACATGGAAGAATTCTGGGAGATGGAAGATGATCTGCGTGATGAAGAGAAAAGGAAGATGGTGGTAAGCGAAAATCACAAATGAATCGTATCGCACATTACAGTCTTAATATTCCCTAATATTACTGGTCTTATCTTAACTTATTCTATCTTTATAGGTGTGTAGAATTTCGAAGATAGGTGGATCTAGTGTAAAAGACAATGTCCGCAACGTGATGAGCAGGTAGTTGCAGTTTCACCAGTGTAGAGTATAGTAAATGTTGTATCTATCAACTTTGAAACAAACCGGTATACTTTCATAACCAATATGAAACTATACGCCATGAACTGGGAACGATAAATTACTTCTAGTCTGCAAACGTCGGATAAAAAGATTAGGGTCGCCTCGGTGATTTCAGTAGCGAATATATTATCTATGATCGCAAGACAAAGTTACTTTAGGATCACTATTCTGTGTCTCAGTGCTTATTAATTAATTATTTTTCTGCATGTATTTTTACGAATTTTCTCATGTTTTAGATTAATGAACAACGAACTGATGTCCACCCTAAATATGGATGGGCATGGTGACAAAATAGCCTTGAGGCCGACTGCTCTGTTCCAAATCATCACAGGTTAGAAAATGTAATTTATGTATCAATTTGCGCATTTCGTGAAAATATATTACCCATATATGTTAATTAATGTTTTATACCGTGATCAATAATTTTCCGATCCTGGGGCTGGTTGAATGAACTTCGAAAACTCCACTATACATGTGACTGTTTCTTGGTACATGTCGAGACAGTTAAGCAAAACAAACAGATGTAAAGTAGTCTTTGCGCCTAAATAACTTCTCACATGGTCGTTTTCTTTTATTCACTGGACGTAAGAAAATACAATTATCAATTTTAGTTCTTAATCTATCTGTTGTATCTTCTTAGAGAGCGTTGTGAACAATTTCAAATCCAGCGAAAGCGAAGTTGCCGACTGCATAAAGAGATACCTGAAGTATGCTCCCGATAGGAAAGGCGGTGAGAGACAAGGAAAACAAAAGGCAAAATGTATGTAAATGTACATGAACTATATATATTATGTTGATACTGTTGTTGCAATGTAAATGTTGATAAAATATTGCATCGAGTCAATATTTAGAGCTGATCAATTCATTCGTTGAAAAATTGATCTTCCTATGTGTGTGGATCAACCTAATGGCTTTTCAATGTTAGGTTTTGTTGCAATATTTTATCAACACTTCTACTGCAACGACAGTAAAATTTCTTGTGTGTATCAATGTATATATTAAACGAATAAATATTTTTTTAAAAAATGTCCAGCGAGTGTTCTTTTGTTAGGGAATGCTGAAGCCAAAACGTGTTGGGTTTGGGGTCAAATTGACGTAGAAACATGCATGTTGAAACGATGTCATATTACTGCAACGTCGATTCAATTTGCATTTTCGGCTGCTTTTAAACTGCGTACCTGAGGTTTATTTTTATGATTTTCATTGCGAAGGGGAGAGGAAAAATAAACTTCTGGTTGAAAGCGGCAATTGATTCATCGAGCCGCGCCAATCAGTTTGAATTAGGGTCAGATCCCGACTCTGTTTCCTGATTGGTTGATTGTATTAAAGCTTTCCAATTGATTTAAAACGAACATCTATAACCAATTAGAGTGCTTTAGTTAATTAATACAATCATCCAATAAAGTAATTAGTTCCAGTCTAGTACCCAGGAAACAAAGAAATACGCTTCGATACGATTGAAGTGGAAAACAGGCTTAAAACATCGATTTGATGTTGAAAATGCAACCTGGAAACGACGTGGATATCTAGACGTTAAAACGACGTCGATTTCTAGACGTTAAAAGGACGTCGATATCTAGACGTTGAAGCGACGTCGATTTCTAGACGTTAAAGCAACGTCAATTTCTAGACGTAACGACGTCGATTTCTAGACATTGAAACGACGTCGATCTCTCAACGTCGATTCCGTTTGCGTTTTCAACGCTTTTTCGACGTCGATCCGACGTCATCCCCTGACGTTGTTTCAACGTTGTTTCGACGTCGCTTTGCCGGCTGGGTGACATCTTTTAAATTAAACACAAAACATGAATTATGTAGTTTTTAAACTTCATAGTTATAGCCTAGCGTAACATAGTGTATTGGAACATTCAAAGATTGTAAATAATTTATAATTTTTTCTATTCTCTATCTAACATTGTAAATTAGCTCTGAAAAGCCCATGGCCAGAAATTCCAGACATTCGAACTGCGCATGTGCAAAGTTTGCTCTTCAAAATGGCAACTTGTTGCTTATGTTTTATGTATGAGAAAATCAGTTATTAATGAATAAAACATTTTCCTTGTTCTGCTAGGCAGAATCTGTCATACCCTTAATATCCAATTATTCGAGCAAACTATATGAACAACACAAGTGGTCAACAGAAGTAACACTCAGTCTGCTTTCCGCAAAAAATATAAGAATATTATCGTAGTAATTTCTTACCAAAATGTCTGATACTTCTGTGGAACCAAATGTTAAAGCCGTACATACTCCTCACTGTTTCAAAATCCATCAAATTCTGTCTTAGTTATAGGTGATTGAATAATTTTGTCGAAGACTCTGCCATCTTGATTCTTTATACATAAAGCAAAGCAGTCTGCTTTTTTTTATTTAAACAGCTAAACCAGCATCTAACGTGAATAGTCTCAGCGGACGACATGCCAGCTTTCCTTCCGTTGTCAGAGTTACATTTATGCTCATAATTCTCGTAATATTGGGCCGATTACATTCAAATAAACGTGAAAATACTCCTGAAACCTTCGCCTTTCATTCTCCGCAGTCTGTTGCTAAGATACGCATAAAGTCGCCACGCTATTGGCCACCGATTGCCTACGGTCTGCTACGAGCTTAACCCGACATCAGTGTTATATTCATTCAAAATGTCAGCGGGAAATATAGACCTTCGAATTCGAGAAATCATCAAATGGAAATAATTTAAGGACCGTGTTCGCGTAGATACGAACCATTGTTTAACACATGCAAATAAGCAATGTGCCTTAGACAAAGAAATCGTTCTCACGATACACATGCCGCACGAGAGCCTACGGAAATGGGGTGATTTCAGAAAGCAAATTTCACAGCTCATGTCATCTGGTACTACATGTAGCTATATTCAATTACTGAATACATTCCTGTACACGCATTGTGGCTACAGAGTGAAAGAAAAGTGTCAACGTGTAGAGAAACGTTTAGAGAAAGCGTGTAGCGAGATCAGGCAGAAATTTGTTGGGAAAAGAGTGGGGCAGTATACAGAAAGCTCTGCCAGAAAGACCTAAATCTAGCCCTGAGGTTAAATGAGTTGGTGACAGTTGGTGAGGTAGACTCTGCCTTGGCCACAGAAAAACTCAAGTGTGCAAAGATTGAAATGGTAAACAAAGAGCTCGACAAGTCTTTATCGGATGCAAAAGTGGCTGATCAAGCTAAAACTGAGGAACTTTGCAATGCCTGGAAGGAAGTTGAGGAATTAACTCTTGAGAACAAAAGCCTTAAGGACAATGTTGAGAAACTTGGCCGGGATCTCAATTTCAATAATGGAGGAAAGAAGATCACAGATGTATCAGAACGGCAGCAAAGGCGAAAACTGTCGGAGTTGAAAACTCACACTGAGAAAGCATTGTGGTTCTCGAAAACTTTCGGATTAGACATTCAAGATGTCAGCTTTGTTGACGAGAATGGCAAACAACACACCTTCTCATACCAGTCAAAGGAGAAAAGAGGATACAAGGATCTTTCTGAGGAAGAGAAACAAAAAGTGAAGAATATTCTTTTCATTCTCGACAAATTTTGCATAGGAGATGCCTCATATCATGAGTTGACAATGTTGTATGATGGGTTGCCAAGATCATACTTGATCAAACAATGCAAAGATGAAATCAATAAGTTGAGCCATATTGTCCGTACGCCAGGCACAGCACCTGGGGCACAACTTGATTTCATGTCTGAATTGAAATCAGTTGTCGAAGGCATGGTAAGTTGACATCTGTTTAATCTATTGAGCCGCAATACGCCCCAGTGAGCCCTACTTGTTTTTTGCTTGTCTAACGCCGAACAATTTTACTTGTCAAGGGGGAAGCTCTGCAGCTTAGTAATGGATTAAAATTACATGTATGACAAAAAAGTCTTGGTCAGTATTTCCAACACTTTCATTGATAAAACAATATAACATGAAAATGTTGCATTTGTTTTTTATACCCCAAAATGTAGCATGTTTATCTGAGGGATATTGATTCCATAATACCGGACAACGGCATCTATTAATTAACTAACTAGTGGAGAACACTTTGCCAAATATTTCGTTTGTGTAAGGGGCAACCATATGCCTGTTCACTGATTAGGTCGTGTTTATGATTAAGACTACAAAGTTACAGTAATCAAATATATTTTTATAATATTTTTAGATACACCAGGGTACCATTGACATTTCCGATCCAACATTTAAATTGGACATTAAATTATCCGGGGATGGTGCAAAGATGTCACGATTAACAAATTTTGTTGTTATTTCTTTCTCCATATTGAACAACAAAAAAGATGTTATGTCATCAAAAGGTACGACTGTGTATATGCCATAATGACGATTGTGCAATAATAACAAAAAGTTTAACCATTATCATGCATGACTCTTTCCTTGCCAAGATGATGGGGGTAAAATCATCTGTCATAAGGTCATGAGTAGTCTAAATGCTAAAGAAGAGCACATGGGGCATTGTGTGGTAAAGGGTTTTAAGGAGCCATTAGGTTTATAATACTTTTATTTTAGATCTAATATTTTTTATTACTTTTATTTGTTAATAAATAGGTAACCACACACTTGCTATCATTAAACGCCACGAGTCATACGATTTGCTCAAAAGTTCTTGCTCTACTATATTTGAGCAAGTCAACAAATTGGTTGAAAGCAAGAGAATTGAAGTCAATGGCAGCAGTATTCCAGTGGAAGTTTATCTTGGAGGAGATTACAAGGTACACTGTCACACATAAATAATGTATTATTATGAATATTACATAGATCACATAAGTCCATTTATCAGTAATTCAGTTGGTACAGTGTAGTGCATTGCAATATTATTGCAGAGCTATTATTTTGGGAACATTAAAAAATCACCATTTCAGACCTCTCAACTCTCACGCAATTCGCTTCACTCTCACGCTACGTTTAGTAAATCTCACGCATATAGCAGTTTCATAGTATTTTTTCAATAAATAAATATAATATTGTATTCTTAAATGCACATTATTAATCATACAGATCGCGAATCGAATATATAATCGCGTGTACTTGTTCCTGCATATACAGCCCTTATACAGCCCGACAATTTGGATACAAAATAGTATGCATATGTAAATACGGCGGACAAAAGGCAGAGTCAGTCGGAGCAGAATTCTATATGTAAATTATCAAAGGCAAATTTAAGCTCATTACTGTATGTCACAGAAATACAGTTATTGTAACTAAAGTGCCTTGTCTTAAAGGAAATTATGAAGCAATGTATTTCATTAAAAACTCTCATTATTAATGTACGAAATGCCATTTCAGGACCCCCGGACTTTTACAAAGGGTGTCATCCACATCTCCAATCTCACTCTTAACTTCTCTGCAAAGTTGAGAGGTCTGCCATTTGTTTCCATTTTTCTTAGTTTTTGCTTCTTATGATGGGGATGAAGTGTGCAACATCTGACCATGCTTGTATATGGTGCAAGATTCATAAGAAAGACAGGTATCTTAAGTTTGTTAAATAAATATTATTAAAGTATCTGGCCTGAAATTAATTTTAACAGCAAGACAGCAAGGTTTTTTTGTGGGGGGGGGGGCAATTCCTGTGTAGAACTGCCTTTGTTAGCCTCCAGCACAGGCATCTCCCTACTGGTTCCCTGTGTGTGATGAACAAAACACTGGGCAACCACACAGAAATGCCTGCAGAGGAGTCTATGCTGTTAAAACAATTGGTCAAAGGATTTCATTTTATTTAGATATTTCGGCTTTCTAGGAAAACAAACAATATACCATGTGCCTTGAGCGCCTGCCATCATTTGTGGGTTTTGGTGAGATTATCTTGTAACCTCTTAAAACTTTTAGATGTGATGTATCAAAGCACCAAAATTTTTATTGGGAGAACCTGACAAGGACCACTAAGGATATTATCGAATGTTCAATGAAGAACATTTTTTCATGCGCATTCAAGCCTCTGGTAAACATTCCTCTCTGCAATGTTGTGCTGGACGAGCTTCATCTGATGCTGCGTGTTACAGGTAAGGAACTGTTTAAGTAGCAGTGTCACCATTTGTGCATCTTTTCTGAGGCGCTTATAGTTTGCCATAGTTTTGGGCCAAGAAGGGTCATTATCACTAATGCAACTGTGAATCTCTCTTGTGCACACAAACTTGAAAAAATGAGGGTTTCTAATCTTGCAGGCTATTTACACGTGACAATCTAGCACGTTCAAAATTTCAAGTATCGCAGGCACATGGTCAAGTGGATCACCCACTGATCAAACAAATAATTTATGATTGGTAATTTTTATTTGCTCTTATAGACAAACTGACCAAAAACCTAGTGATAAATGCCGTAGAGATGGACAGAAAAGCGAATTTAAATAAACGACCAATGGACAGGTCAAATCAGAATTTGGATGCCCTCATCAAGACCGTTCAAAGTTGTGGTGTCTCATTTGATGTATGGGAGAAAGTTGAAGAGGGCGGTCGAGGTGGCCTCTATGACTTCACAAGCCTTATGGGGTCAGACAAGCGTCTGCTCCTTAAGGAGTTGCCAAGCAAGCTGTCTAGCATACTTCCAGATAGTACAAGTGGGACAATTGTTAGACTCTGGCAGGTAGTGATTAGGACAATCACATTGGCAATGTTTTGCTATGTATATATTAATAATATATGTTTTGATTAAAATATATTCGACATGATCTATTTTTTTAGGAATTTAATGAAATTTGTCAACTTTTGGGTGTTGTGTCCCCAACAGAAGAACAAATAACGAATTACTTTGACAAGGTAAGTTTTGCTTAAAACTGAAAAAAATAATTAATTCAATACTGCAGCAATAAAAAGTACCATACAATATTTATCATTTTAGGCTGTGAATTGGGTGAAGTTATTCCTCTCGCTCAATGGCAAGAACTTGGGGTACGAGCCAGCAAGGATCACTCCATATATGCATGCCATGGTTTACCATGTACCACGTTTCATGCAAATGCATCATGGAGTAAAGAAATTTACTGGCCACGGTATTGTACTTTATTGTTGAAACTTGTGTATATTATGCATTCAATCATTTTACATTAAGTGTTTTTATTATTTTGCTATCATAGGAGTCGAAAAACTTAATGACGATTGCAGAAGAGTCCATTTGCAAAGGTCCAACAAATGGGATGCCCCCACAGATGTTCTTCTTGTTGGAAAACGGGTCGAGCACTTGTCCAACTGTGAACGTATAACGAGGCCCTACTTGAAAAGGAACAAGAACTACTGGGAAAGTGCGATAAAGGAAAGCCGTTCAAAGCGAATTCGTGTGTCCGCACAAATTAATGAGGAAACAGAGGTTGACATAAACTCATTGACAGCAAATGAAATCAAACACAAACTTAAAGATTTAGGTGTCTTGACAAAACTAAGGAGCTTGGAGAAATTGAAAAAGCTCTTTAGAGAGAGCTTAACAAATAAGGAAAACAACAACATTTAGGGATGAACGATATATTGTAAATAAAATAGATTTTAAAATAAATATTATGTAAATAAAGTTAATTTATTGGAACCAGTCAAGGGTTAGTTTTATCAAAATACAGTATATTTAAAAATACAAGAGGCGAAACCAGGATTCATAATTAAAGATTCAGCCTTTATCTGGTAAAAAATATTTATTTATTACAAGCTTTTGTCTGCCAGTCTGCAGTCTTTGACAAGTGGAGTAGACGGTGGAAGACTGCAGACTGGCAGTCAAAAGCTCGTAATCAATATTTATTATTTATTTGAATAATTCCTGCTTTCTGATTGGCTAACAGTCAACTGTGAAATTGTCATATCAACTCAATGGCTAACCAAATACGGATTTTTCACATTCATATTAGCAAAATGACGTCAAAGAGTAAATATGAAAAAATTTTGGACGCGTTTGCGCCATATTACTATGACGACGAGAATCATATTGACTCGCTGACGCCATTGATATGATGCGACGACGGCTGCCGAAGGACTAAGGAATTGTTTTTTTCTTAATACAAATAAAATACAAATGTTTTGAAATTTCTAAATAAATAATGAAACAATTATTGAATTCAGGCTTGATAATTCTTCATATCGTGCTCAACCTCATTCAATAATTGTTAAATATTTAAACCAGAGAACACCTGAATCTTTTATTCAAAATACAGTAGTTGCAATTTTATCTGTGGTTACATATATTATGACCACTCTATTTAAAATCAAATTTGTTCAGCAGTACAAGACTTCCTAATAACTGTTAAACAAACTTTTTCAATTGGAAATCTTTTTCCCGCAACCATTCCACCATTTGTCTTGACAAAGTTTTTTGGTGACCAAGATAATATCGGTTTGGCTTTTAATGGGAAGTCCACTGAAATGCCATTTCCATCTATATCCACGTGGTACCACCAATAATCCGGAAGGTACTTCAATTTAATAAAATCATTCTTCTGGTATAAATGATGGCCACGGTGCTCAGAGGTAACTCCTTTCATATACACGACATATCTCCATACATCTAAATCAATGCTGGCATATACCGGTGCTGATCTTCTGCTTCGAAGAGCACTAGTGATAGCACAAGTAAATTGCAGGGATGCCACTTGGAGCCTCTCGTCTGTCACAACTGCTGGTTCCTCATAGTTTCTGCAAATATAGATATTAATGAATATTACAAAGTGTATTAAAATTTATTTTAGCATACAACAGCTCTTCGTCAAAGGCCATTCATGTTCATTTATACCCATGAGACCTCACATTTTAACAATGTTTAATAAGCTCAACTTTTGGTCAATATTCATTTGGGTTATTATAAATATTAAACAAACCTTAACAGATCTGGCGTTAAATTATCTTCAGGTTCCCATGTGGACGATTCCAGGGACCATCCCTTCCACTTCACCAAGTATTCATTTCCCTGAAAACAAACATGACGTCTATGATTTAATGTAAACCTTTACAAGTATATTATATTTATATTGAAAGCGAGATTGAAGGTATAGTTTTAAAATATTAAAAGCGAATTGAAAACACAACTTACATGGCAAATTCTGCGCCTCGTTATTATTCGTTCGACTTGGTAAAAGCTGCCACATGTTCTTTTTCTCTTCACAGTACTAGTGTCATATAATACGACAGACGATAGCGCGTTTAGTTGCTTATAATCAACAACATTTCTCGACCGCTTTGATGTGTTTGTAGCCATGTTGGATTGCTTTTGGAGTATTCCGACTTGCTTATAGGGATAAATCGGGATCGCAATGGGAGTACATATGGATATATATTATGAAGAAAACCGCTGGTTAGAAAATGTCCGGCATTTCTGGCCATGCATTTTGTGGAGAGTTTATTAAAGTTTCTATTTTATTCTATTCTCCAAGAAAATCATCAAATGTGCAGCTATTATTTCCAGAATTTGATATTTTACAAACCTATATTCCCTTAAATATAATAGTCATCAGAACATGAAGAATTAATGTTTCTATAACAATGTCACTAATAGATTGGCTATTATATATGACTAATAGTGTATATTATTTTTTTATGAGTATATACATGCAGTAGTTAGATTATTTATCTTACTGCGTTTTGTTCCATGGATCTGAGACTATTTTCTCTGTTAGCAAAACATGTGGTGATAAATTCAGAAAACAGATTAATGATTACTGGTTCGTTGGAATTCATTGTGTGTTACAGTAATTTTCGTTTACTCTCATTTGTTACATTCAGATCAAATAATTGTTTTCAAAATCGGATCTGAGTTGTCTCAAAGGTGATTGTATTTTTGGCATGCAAGACTGGGGTGAAATTCATCTTCTATTTCGCCAGAATTGCACAGTTTACAAGTGTGTACTTCATGAGGGATATTTTGGTATCTCCCATATTCAATTTGTAGTTTGTGGTTGCTTATTCGAAATTCCATAAATGTTCTTGTTGTTGGATTTTTAATGAGATAGGTATGGTTCAACTTTGTATTCTGTTTTGAAAGTGGATAGAAATGCTAGTTTTGAGGAGTTCGTTATTTTATGTTTCCAGAATGATGTATTTTTCTTTCATTTTGTTTACAAGTGACGTAGAGTCATAGTTTAAGAGAGCTAGTTCAATATTTGATTCATTTGGGTAGTAAGGTTTCAGTAGATTAACTGCTTTTGAGTAATATGATTCTTTATTGTTTGTATAAAGATCTTTGGATATGTTAAAGCTTTGTTTCGCAATTGAGTCATCGGGTAGCTGGTCGATATGTTTAAAATAATTAATTATGTTTTTCTTGATTGTTAAGAGGAGAGGGAATTTACCAAGTTCTCCCCTGCAAGCAACAAGGGTGAATTTCGTTTTTGACCAATCAGAGCATTTGTTTAACTTTTGGCACTAAGCCAGTATTTCAACACGGTTGTAAATAAAGCCTTTGGGGTGCCTGGTTTTTTAAATTTTTGGATTTAATTCAATGAAATCCTTTAAAATATAAAATTTTTGAAAAATTTGTCGCTGGGATTTGCATTTCATTGCTTAGTTTTGAAATTATCCCCATTCAAAAAACGGCATATGCAAGGTCACTCTCAAATAGGTCAAAAACGTGTTATGATTCTAAAGGAAGTGAAGCGAAGGCATATATCGGGAAATATTTGGAATGAGTGGCTCGGGCATTTGAGAAAGAAGGCATTTTCACTGCGATTTTGGAGTTAAATTTTCTGGCAATCGGTCACTACACGACTATAATTTTGCCAGCAAAGTAGAAGAATCACCGTTTATGACTGCCTCGTTGGCCCAAGCTTTCTGCTTTTGACTTGAGAGGGTATTTGCAAATCGGACAAGCACTGACGTCTGGCAGGTTACACTTGAGGTGGAAATAGTGCCCACAGCCTCGAAAAATGCGACACAAAGGACTATCATGATTTTTACGACACAAAGGACGATCACTGATTTTTAGATCAATGCATTCAATTTTATCACATTTACTATGTCAATGGAAATTGGTTTATATTTCACATATAAACATATACGTTTATGCTTATACATTTTACAAGCTGCCAATTTATTAAAAGGTTCATATTTTTTCAAGCACCAGATTGTCAGTCAACAGGTGAGAAATTCAACAGCCTTGACTTTCAAATTAGAGATTGACTTCTGGCATTGTCATCATGACAAGGGCAAGGCATTGTTTCTTTTTCCAATAAGAGTCTTCAAATCAGCAGTTTTAGGTGCCATTTTGAGTGATGTGATTTAATATTCAGTTTTTTGTATATTTAATGAGCCTTGTTTTCGTGTTTACACACTGTCCACGCTACAGGGCTTAGATTTTATTTGAAATATTTTGTATTTTCCCACATTTTTTCGTAAACAAAGTACACAAAGTAAAGGATTTCTGACCTTTCTTCAACTTTTAACAACTCTTGCTCTTCAGGATCATTCAAAGGATGGTCTGTCGCTGTATATTTGCTGTTGGTTGTCCTTGAAAGCTTTGTTTGTTGCCAAAGTTTCTCCCCGATTTTTGCAAGCTGGCAAGTCCACTTTAGTTGACGAAAATTTTGACTGTTTTGCATTCTCGTTGCAAAGTGCTACTTCACTTGGACTTCCCACACCTAGGCCACACTTGTTTTTGTACTTTATATCTTATATTAATGATGTGCCAATATACGACACAAAGTGACAAAGACGAAGAAGTCAACTATAACAAAAATATGTTTACAATTACTTGATAAAGTATAAGATTAGACTGAATGATTATAAATGATAAGTCAGTTAGTCACAATTTTCGTGAGCCTGTCCAGTTGTTTCGTTCATTTTTTTTTTAATAGAAAGATGGTAAATATCACTAATATTAAAACATATACTGATATAGTTGTTCGTATTTATAAAAACAAACCCACACTCTCCCGGTTCTCTCCAAAACCAGGCTGTCCTGATTTTAGGGCTGTAGCTCGCTCGAAACACTGGTTGTAGATAATCAAAGAATACTTTAAAAAGTTGCATAATTTGGAAAACTTGTGTAAAATTTAAAGTTTTTGCATCACTTGCAATGACATGTTCAATTTGAAGTACACACTGTCTGTATTTGGTTGATAACTTGTCGTATTTTTGTTTTAACTTGGCATATTCACTTTTTTGTAAATGTAGCTCCTTCATTTTCATTTGTTGTTTCAAGAAGAGTACTTGGATCACTGCTTGTCTTAGGACCTGAGCATTTTCTACCTTCACTGCTGTTGTTTGTTTGTCCATATGATAACATAGGAGCAGTTGGTAATAAATTTAATACTTTCTTGCCACCAGGAAAGTGTAGTGAACAGACTTTGTGGCTTTTTAAAGGTTGTTTTTGTAACCTAATAAATTTAGCCATGTTTCTTTTAAGCTTCACTCCTGAGGAAATTGGTGGAATTAGAATTCCGGATTTTTCATGCTGTTGCTTTTACAAAGCGGTACACAACATGTTCATCCTTTCTTTTTCAACACAGTTTCATTTGCAGTCTCCATCTTTTTTTTTGAAAAAAACACACCAAAACATGAAGCAAAAGCGGTCAAAGCCAACAAATTTCAAGCAGCGACAGCGATCATCAAGTAATTTAAATACACAAACAAATATTTCTCTTTTGTAAATTCTTTAACAGCAGCCAATAGTACTTAAAAGTACTGTTCAACAGTTTAAATCTTTGAAAATGAAGAAGCTGATACTTTAAATGGATAGTTTCCATGCATCCTTAATGTTTTTGTTTGTAATGGAACACTTGATCAAGCATGTGTTGTTTTAAGCTGACTTGATGTCAAAACACTTTTGCATCTAGAACTATTAACTACGACCTGACCACAGAACTGCCTGTTGTAAGTGATGAACAAGTGTGTCTTACTTATTTTACACAAATTTTAGCGATGTACTTACCTTTAAAATGTGTGAAAAGTCTAAATTTGTGTTGGTTCATGTCCAATTGAAGTCATGTTCGCCTTCCCTCGGGCCGATTGTCATGTTAAATATCTCAAAATCAATAACTCTTAGAGATCCCATGTTAGACTACAGACTAAAACAAACCTCACAGAATGTTGGAAAGCTTTTATTGAGAACTAAACAAAAATATTATTTGTGTAAATTTCATACACACGAATTTCAGACCACACACACATATGCAAAATAAACAGCCACCATCATGCAAAATTCTGCCGTGATGACTAAACTACCATGAGCTTTGCATTAGCTCAAGTTGCGAATTGGCAGGAGAGAAATTGGCCTATAATTCTCTGTGTATTCTTTGTCACCTTTCTTATAAACAAGAACAATGTTCACTAGTTTCCAATCTTGTGGCACCATTCCTTGTTGCAATTATTTGTTGAATACTTTGCAGATGGAGGGAGTGATTACCAAGGTGGTTTCTTTTCGAAGTCTGGCTGAGATTTTGGCTGATCCGGTTGCTCTGTTAGTATCAAGGGAGCTAAGTAACGTTTCTACCTCTAAATCAGTTAGTTTGTGTTCAGTTAAAACTGGATCTGTCTAGTTAGCATGTTGAACAGGGAGGCTTTCGGATGTAAATATGGAGGCCAAGTAGGTATTGAAGAAGTCAGCTATTTTGTTAGGGTTTGTGGCAATTGGTCTGGAAGGGAGGTTTGACTGGTCGGGATGATTCAAGAATGCAGTAGCGGGTGATGGAGGAATGAACATACGATCAGGAATGATACAAAACTTTGATCTTTGCTTTAATGCGGACTAAATCACTTTGGGTTATCTTTAACGCTATTGTCAATTGAACCAAAATAGTTCTCACGGCTTTCACGCAACAATTTCTTGATCTCAGAACGAAGGCTCTTGTGTTTGTCTTCCACATAACTGGTAGGGTTGGCTTTTATTTTATGCCAAATAGTCCTTTTTGAACATATGAAGTATGTCACTGTTAATCCATGGTAGCAGATTTTGACCTTTGATCTTCTTCTTGGGTATAAAGGCAGAAACTGTGGAAAGAAACATGTTCTTCTAACATTGCCAATCATTGTCATTGTTATCAGAATCTGATATCAATGAAGATAGATCAGTTGCCTGTAGAGCAGTACGTAGACCATCTAAATCTCCTTTCACATAGACTATGCTAACAGATTTCCGTGAAGCTTAATGAAAGCAATAAAATCGAATGAAATAGCATCACGGTCTGTACCAATGATTGTTCCAGAGATAAAATTTCTGTCAAGCAAACATGATTTGGCACACTTGTAATCACCAGATCTAGTATGTTGCTACCGCATGTAGGAGTGTTATTGAGTTGGCATAGGAAGAAGAGAAGATCGTTAACACTATTCGTTTTGTCCATCTTGTCCCTGGATCTCTGAATGCTCTTAAGGCATCTCGCGTTGAGTGCCAAGCACTTGATTACACTGTTTCAAGAAGAACACAGGCTAGGATTTATTGCCACATCACCAGCCAAAAGAATAAGTAAAAAGACATTAAATAATTTCTGATTTATTGCTTCCCTTGCAAAATACCATGCTCATTCCGGCATTCCCAAGTCATGATGAGCTCCGTTTTCTGGGCAAAATATCAAGCAGACATTAAATAGGCGAAACTGCAATTGGGAAATAAATGGCTATGCGCATAGAGCACATGCTGAATTATTATTTCATAACAAATGTTACAATTTTACTTTTTGAATACGTAAATCAGAGTTTGTTACCTGTTCGCACAGAAAAGGTGGAGTAAAACAAACGCCCACACAAAGACTACACACAAGTAATAAACATAGCCAAAGTATTTATAAAGAATGCAGTAGTTACATGTTGTAAATAAGCACGGAGAGGGCGGGTGAAAGTCTTGCATGGCACTTGAAGACTTGACGAGCCAGTGGCTTGAGAAATATGTCCTTCTAGTGACTTGTAAAGTTCTTTATTTAAGCCATTAAGCGCCAGCGCTCTCCCCTTGTCGAGTAAAATCGTCTGGCGTTAGACAGAGTAAAATACGCTGGCGTTAGACAGAGTAAAATACTAAAGTAGGGTGCATCGCCACTCAATGGGTTAACTAGGCAGATGGGCCAGTAAACTAGACACATGGGCAGATAGGCCCGTTAACCCATTAAGAGCCAGCGCTGTCCCCTTGGCGAGTAAAATCGTCTGGCGTTAGACAGAGTAAAATTGTCTGGCGTTAGACAGAGTAAAATTGTCTGGCGTTGGACAGAGTAAAATTGTCTGGCATTAGACAGAGTAAAATACTAAAGTAGGGTGCATCAGGGTGCATCGCCACTCAATGGGTTAACTAGACACATGGGCAGATAGGCCAGTTAACCCATTAAGTGCCAGCGTTCTCCCCTTGACGAGTAAAATCGTCTGGCGTTATACAGAGTAAAATCGTCTGGCATTAGACAGAGTAAAATCGTCTGGCGTTAGACAGAGTAAAATCGTCTGGCGTTAGACAGAGTAAAATCGTCTGGCGTTAGACAGAGTAAAATCGTCTGGCGTTAGACAGAGTAAAATCGTCTGGCGTTAGACAGAGTAAAATCGTCTGGCGTTAGACAGAGTAAAATCGTCTGGCGTTAGATGGAGTAAAATACTAAAGTAGGGTGCATCGCCACTCAATGGGTTAACTAGACACATGGGCAGATAGGCAAGTTAACTAGACACATGGGCAGATAGGCCAGTTAACACATTAAGCGCCAGCGCTCTCCCCTTGACGAGTAAAATCATCTGGCGTTAGACAGAGTAAAATCGTCTGGCGTTAGACAGAGTAAAATACTAAAGTAGGGTCATCAGCGTGCATCGCCACTCAATGGGTTAACCAGACACATGGGCAGATAGGCCAGTTAACCCATTAAGCGCACATTGGAAATGCTGCACATTGCTTTGACTGTTTCATCACTCTGTTTGTTTAATGGAGGTTGGAGACCATCTGCTAAGGGCTTTATTTTGTTTAAGCAGACTTTCATATTGTCATCATATTCGGTAATCAAAGAGTTGAGCACTGCACACATCTCTTTTCGGTAGAATTCTTTGAATGACATATGCGTGCTTGCTTCCGGATCTTCAGCGATTCGTCGTGGAGGTCTCCTTGGTCTATGGTGAAGTTGATACTGGCCAATTGCGTCGATATTGACTTTATTTCCAACCTCAACGATCGCATCGAGTTCCGCGTCCATTGCAGAAGTATCACTTGGAATACTTTTCAAATTTTGTATTGTACAATCGATCAAATTCAGCATGTCTAGAATATTGAGCTGTTCTTCTTGCAATTGCTTCGTCACAATCTTTGTCTTCTTCATGACAAGCCTCATAAACATTAGAACGAAGACAAAGTCAAAACTTAGCAATTTCGTCTTGATCCCGGGAGCTTCTGTCCTAATTTTGCCTTCCATGTTATCGCGTGAAATAGCGGCATCAATTGCTCCTGGGATTTGCTCATAACTCCTCCAAACAGCATCAATAGACTCAGAACAGTAAACCCATCTGGTCTTCGATAAGTTCCTCAACTCGCATTTTCAATTTCCTTTGTGGCATCTTTCATTGCCTTATTTTGCTTTGTGCTCTTACTGAAGAACACATAAATATCTTCCAGTCCATCGTACATGGATGTAACAATGGTCGTTAAATTTGTTAGATCGATGACCCTGGCAAGGAATATAGGGAATTGGTCGCTTGAGAATGTCCTGCAAGACTTTTTCTGCACCATTCAGTCTCCCAGACAGTGACGCTGTAAAATCGTAAGTCTGAAAAGAAAGCATGTCCAGATCTATTTCATTATCCTTCAAAGAACATATTATGTCCTTAGCTGTACCAGCGCCAGTCTTGTCAATGGACTCTTTCATTTCTACAACTCTCTCGGGGAACACCAGAGGAATCAACATATCTTGCTGCGACGACAAGCTTGTCCTGATTCGAAGTATCTGGAGTAGTATCAGCAGAGACAGAATAAACACCGGCTGTATTTATTTTGCTCCTGATTTCCTTCCTTACCGACTGAGCCAACAACTGCAACATTTCATTTTGGGATTTTGAACTTGTATATGTCGTACTGTATGGTTTAAATCGCTGTTCTTCAAGCCACGATTTTAGATGCAATCCTTGCAATGCCTTGAAAGGAGATGGACAATCTGTATAAAATTACCATCATCATCATTGCCAGATCCCCTGAAAGCTAATGTTTGCCTGGCCAATGTTCTAGCGACATCAAAAAGTATTGTCGTAATTGCTTTGCTCTTTTCTTCATCAGCCTTTTCTTGGATAAGGATTTCCTTCATTTGTGCATTGATTACGACATCAATGTGAGAGGATTCTATGGAAAATCTAGCAAAATCTGCAAGAGCGGCTTGGTGGGAAGCACTAGAAAAATGTTGCACAAGCTTTCCTGGTTTATTTGTGCCAACGCTTTTCATTTTGTGCCACGCTCTGATCCAGTTTACCCAAGCTTGATCACTTCCCTTTCTACCGGGACCTGAGGGAAATAGTGAACATCCAAAACAGTGTGCTTTATCCTCTTTTTGGCTGTAATCCTTATTCTTTGGTATTGCTTCATTTTCAGGGAATGACTTCAATTGGGGCTGGCAAGGACCAAGATTTATTAAAAACTTATGTTGATCATTGTCCATGTTTGGTGGCCTTTCACTAGGATCATGGCTTACTTCATGACCGTTTGTTGCCAATCATGGACATCCTATCTCAATCTCTTGAGCTTTCTTTATTACATGAGAACAATTTTTGATAATTTGCTGCGATAAACCACTGATCTTTACCGTTTTTGACGTTTGTATTTTTCTCCGACACTGCTTGATCTACTATGCTTTGACATTGTGTGCTGTATTGCAAAAGGACACACATGCCCTGCACATGTGAGCCATGTTATTTCATCATTGTTTTTATTTGTGATATCAATGTTTGAAAACTTTTCGCCACCTGCAAATTCCTAAAAGTGCAAAAAGTAGTTCATTAGTTTATCAGTTTAGGGTGCATTGCATAGGATTATCAATTATGTATTTTATCATGAGTATCAAATCTTTTTTATACATTCAAGATGAACTGCACTGACACTATTAAAAATCTATTGTGACCAGAAGACTCTACCTCGCATGCTAACATTATATATGACATTGTATTCTGCGATAATAGTTTTTCCAAAACCTGTTAGCTCGAAAATGGTTTTTACTAAATCTCAAGTCAAACACATAATTTCACTTGTAATGTTTACCTTGTCATTTAAGCTCTTCACTTCTGACAAGTCCGACATGGAATTAATATCAGATAATAATGATTCAGCAGCCTCTTGAACATCTAAGTCGGTATTGCAAGCACTTGATGAGGTGCTGTTTTCGATTAGAACTACAGGTTCTGCTACCACACTACCCAATGTCGGCGATTCCATTGTTTCATGATCATTATGTTTCATCCTCATTTTCACTATTCTCCACTGTTGCTGCAATAGCTTCCTATTAAGCAAACTTTAAATTAATAGACATATTTTTTGTTGCTCAACATTTTAACTTAAAACAATGAGCAACAAAATTCATGTCTATTAATATTCCAGTATCATAAAATGAAAACATGACTAAAGTAAAATATACATTCATTAATTCAGTCCACTACTTACCGTGGCCAGGCAATGCAAACAATATTTTTTTTGGGAAGGATCAAGTATATAGATAATTTTGGCCTGTCCATTATGTGCAGTTTTGTTATGCTTCGGAAAGTTGTCACTGAAAATTTCTTTATTGCAGCTAGAACGTTAAATTTTTTGTTGATATGGTCGTTTTCTACCCTTTTTCCTATGTTGCTCTACAACAATGTGAGAATAAAAATGTTTATTAATTTGATATACTGTATTCATCTGTTAAGCTGCAAAACAAGTTACATCTTACAAAACGAACACAGAATTTTTTTACCATAAGTTACTACATTGTTGTAATATAATCGAAGGGTAAGTACTAAGGTAATATTCATAGTTTATTTCAAAACTATATTAGTCTATAATTATAAGTATTATTTAAACTGATTTTGTAAGCCGACATCGTGCGACATGTGTGTAGCGAACTTACTTCCGTGTTTTTATTTAATTTGTTTACCAAGTTACCAACTTGCACTCCTGCTAATTCTAAAATATATTAAATTTCACTATATTTTATTTCATATCCATAGCAAAAAATTCTTTATACACTTTCAATATAAATACTAAAATATAAGATCAGCTCATCAGTGGTCAGCAAAGGTAGACAGGTAAATTTGCATACGTTATAGAGATTGGTAAATAGGTGATTTAAAAGCGTGTATTTTAGGATGTGGTTATAATATAAATGAAAAGAATAAGTAAACATATCTTACATAAATCATGATGAATGGTATTTATTATTAATAATAGTATAATACTGACTTTCCATGTTGTCATGTATGATGTAACTTATGCGATTTAAGTCACCCAGGAATAACGAATTATAGAATTAAAGTATTTATATACGTTACCACAAGAACACAAGTAGCAAAGGTCAAAGTTCGAAATTCAACGGTGACACCTTTGTCGGCTCGTCGAAAATAACCGACCTCATGCACACAGTGTATAAAGAGATAAGAGATCGGCTCTTTTAGGGTATTATTAACTATTAACAAAAAGGGAACATTTCTGTATGAAACTTAAGATCCTAAAATAACAACTCCTACAACTGTATTACTGCATCTAATCTTGCTCTTTGCCCTGCGAGTTACATACAATTGCCCTGCCAATCACATTTTTTTCACATTACGGGGGGAGTGTCACACCCCACACACACACCCTTGAATTTTGCCCCTGAACCCATTACCATTGGATCCATTGAGGTTGTTTTTTATTAACTCAATTCGATCTGCCAATATAGATTTCCGACATATATTAAAGAACTCCATGAGTATTTGCAACGCCACCAAAAAATTCCGCTTGATCTAAACTATATATTCCGAAATATTTGTTTAATTTTATTGTTACTCGCTCAATTTCAAGCAAATTTCTAACCTCGAAATGATCAATGTGGTGAAATTTATGCAAATGATGCATTACCAATTTTGCTGTTGCATTTTGAATGTCCTGCCTGATTCAAATGCTTGTATCTTTGCTTCTTTTCAACGTATAATAATAACAAATATACTAAGAGAATCGCCATCTTGCATTCTATAGCTCGGAGCAGTCTCTTAAAATTGCAAAATAATCTATGCCTATTATGGTGATTCTCATGGTCGGAAAGTGTTCGGCCGACTTCGGATGCCAAATTCTTGGTAAAGCATTACAGTTTCCTGGTAAACGACTGCAGAAATCACTTCCGGAGTGTTTTTTTTTACCCTAGATACATATTTTGATTGGCTTTAGGCTAGAGGTCTGCACCGGAGCCGGAGTTCCTGTATATTTTCCTGTAATGTGCTAGTAATGACAGAATGTCTTTGTACGAAGACAAGTATCTCAACCTGGCATTGGTAGTCATGTCTGGAGTTTCAATGCAAGTATTTATCAATTTAAGACATTCCATTTCAATGTTTTGCCTTTGCCAAAACGCATTTTGACGTTGTAAATTTATTTGCATTTAGTATAGCTTCACTAGTATTACCAAGTATCTCGCCCCAAGTATTCTCGTTAAAACACACATATTAGGACCTCCCGCCGATTTGTTTAGCATCACGAAAAGGGATGTACACACATCTAATGATGTTGCTAAGGTAAGGCATTTTGCATTTAGAACACGATTGCAATCATTTCACGTCATTTTACATGCGCTACATTTACTTTTTTGAGTCCTACATTCCGCTAAAAATCAAAATTGAAGTATTAAAATTGAAAATTATAAAAATATGCATGCTCTCGCATTTGTTTAAACATTTATGCAATTCGTGATCATGCAGTAATTATGGAAGCAATGTTACCATGTGTTGAATGTCAAAACGTTATGTTTTCGTATTTGCCCCCAAAATAAAGGCTGCATTTTTCGCAAGTATATATATACATACGGAAAAGTTTAAATCTTCCTAAATTTTATTTAAGTACTAGCTACCTTGATCAACAAATATAGACTCCAATCAATAAACATTGGTAAAGTCAAGGAATTATCATATTTATACAATATAAACCTTAGGGATAATTCACAATTGGGCATGTGTCCCCCGCAATTACAAATTATGCAGGTCTATTATACTTGTTACATGCAGGTATACATCGTCACCGTTTAAAGTTCTATAATTTCTATCTTCTTTAAATTAAAATGCTAGATGCAAGTTATACAACTTTAAATTAACAGTGAACCTAATGGCTAAACAAACAACGAATTGTCATTTTCAACGTTGAACTTGAAATGCTATTTTCAGTCTGAAACATGTGCGCAGAACTCAAAAGTGAGATGCTCCACACAAATGGCTGAAACACTCGAGTGAAATGGAAGAAAGCTCAATATGAAGGTTGATAATCATTGCATTACTAACTAAAGAAGCTTCGCAACTTTTAGAAAAATAGTTTTGCAATTTTATGCAATATTCAAAATCACTTCACATTTTGCGATTTGCGAAGCATTAATTCAGACCCTGGTATTTATTTATATTGTTGACGAAAATTTATGGTGCTTTAGGCATAAAAAACTCTGATTCCTAGGCAAAGTAAAGTGAGCCTTGAGCACATGTTTGCTTGTTTGTTACATACATAATAGACCAAGTATTCATACTTATATCCTACTAGTTTGGCTCTTATTATAATTTCAAGTGGCAACATGTAAATTATGTCTATAAAAATTTTTTATTTGCAGTGATGAAGATATTGATCCTGTTCCTGGCTGCTGCTCCCATTTCATAGCCTCAGGGAAGTAGCAGTTCTGATTAGTCATGAGAACCCCACTCCCCAACCCCCATTAGGAAAACATGTAAGTGTAGAGGGACAGTAGGAGGATTAGTAGAGGTATAGTACATAGTACATGACAGATATGGTGATCCTGACACCAGGAATAATCTCCCAGATTTTGCCCCTCACCAACATGTCCAGGATCCATTTTGATCAAGCTTTCACCAGAAATATGAACTGTGAGCTCTTTTTTACTAAGGAAATGCTTCAGGAGGTATTTTCCCATACCAATACATATGCCCACATACAAATAACCCAAAATCATTCCCATATACTAATAAAGAAGGGTCTTGGAGTGTGGACTCCAAGACCCTTCTTTATTAGTATGTGGGGATATTTTGGGTTATTTGTATGTGGGCAAATATTTATTTACGTATTTTGAGTTATTTGTATGGGGATGATTTTGGGTTATTTGTATGCCAACCTTGAGGAGATTGAGAGGTTGATTGCCTTTTTAGTATATGCAGGTTTGGTAAAGGTCGACAGTGAGATTGAAAATTATTGGAGTTTAAAAACCTTATATCATGGTCTGTGGGCAATAGAAATAATTTCTCGGTTTAGGTACAAAGGTGCTTATGGCGTTTCTGAATATGGTAGACCCTGTCACTGAAGATTACAACAATACACTTCATCAACAGCTGTACCAGCCATCACAGAATATTGCTGTTGACGAGCACACTGTCAAATCAAGAAATAGGTTGGGGATTAGGCAGTTTATGAAAGATGGCCTACTATGTGTGGAATGTAATATAAGTTTGGTTACAGTCTTAGGTCTTTTGTGGTCCAATATATATTTTGTGCACAAAAGGAAATATTTTCACCACATAATCCAATTATGTGCCTTGGCAAACATTACTGCCTTGGCAAACATTACTTTTTATAACTAGTAATGACAACGCCAGCCCAACAACACTTGGTCATGCTATATGCAAATATTTTCATGTTCTAGATTGTGAAAACAATGATTAGTTAAAATTTGAATACCATGACCAAATTTTGAGGCTGGTTATACCACTGATAACTAAGTCAATGGTGTACTGATTATCTAAGAATGTATATAGTAACGGTAGAAATAAAGACATTTTGCAAATAGTGATTTGATTGTTCTTTTGTGGGTATCACAGACTTCTTTTGGTGCCATACTATCCTTGGAGAGTAAGAAATGTTGGAAATTTGTATTGATAATATGTTGTAGCAATGAAAAAGGACCTTTGATAAGGGTATTTATTTCAATAAAAATACTTCCATTTATGCTACATGCATGAAACTTCAGGTACTTGTATATCACAACCTTTGATCACACCCGTGTCTTTGACATATTTGAAATTTGAACCGGTAAATACATTTATATGCATATTTGCAAAAAATTTTTCATATCATAATGTATGCAAATTTATGCGAATAAATCGTTAACCAAGCTTGGGATGAAATTGGTATCGCTGGAAAGTGGAAGTCCTCTTCTTTCGAACCATGCAATTTCTGTTTCCCTATGATGTATAGTTTGAAAGTTATATGCGTTCAAACAACACCACTCAAAATTGCTATTTTTTGACCGG